CCTCCCAGGCCTGACCTCCTCCCAGGCCTGACCTCCTCCCAGGCCTGACCTCCTCCCAGGCCTGGCCCCCTCCCAGGCTAAGCAGACTGGGATTGTCCTAGCACAGGGTCTAGGACACCAGCGACCAAGGGCCCTGGGCAGCAGGAGCAGAGCAGGAGTCCCTGGGCCATACAGGTGTCCTTGGGAGAGGGGCGGCTCAGGGAGCCCTGGAGGGATGGCTGGCTCCCATCCCTCGGGTGAGGGGCCCAGAGAGAGGGGTGTGGGGCTGCCGCGTCTGTGCAGCAGCCAGCGGGCCAGGAGACAGGCCTGGGCTGGGGAGCAGGACACGGGAATGAGAGGTGCCCAGCGGCAGGGTGACCAGAGAGAGGGGGAAAGCCCAGGACGGAAGCAGGGAGGACGAAGCCGCCAGGCTTCCTCTCGCCTGGGCCACGGGGACCGCATGCAGCACCAGATCCCTCCCTGGCCTCCCCAGCCCGCCCCTCCCAGGCCCCAGCCCAGCCGGCTCACCTTCAGAGTTCCTTTGCTGTTCCCGCCCACCTTGACACTGATCTTGCTGCTCAGGGAGAACTTGCGGGAAGAGCAGAGGGAGGGGTGTGGGGGGCCGGCCCACACCTCACCTCCACCCCCAGAGCAAGCCCGCTCCCCACGCCACACTCCCAGCGGTTTACACCCTCGCAGGCCTCATCTCCGTCAGCCTGTGGACCCTGGGAGTAACCAATATATGGTGAACACTTAATCTTTTAAAGAATTATACAGTAAAGCCACACCGCCATCATTTGCCCTCAAAATACTTGCTCTCAATTTGAGCGCCCTTTCCCTGCACCCTCGCCTCTTTCTGAAGCAGTTCTAAAAGTTCTCTTTTGTCTCTATGTTGTCAGCAGTACAGTGCCAAACGCTGCCAAACGCCACCCACCAGAAAGGCGGGTTCGGAAGATGCACGACAGAGGTCCCGAGGGCCCGGCCGCCTCACCTTCGGGACCCGGTACCGGCTCGCCCGGCCCTCCCCCCGCAGTCAAAAGGACCGCGGGAGGGAATCATTCTGAGCTGCCTCAGGACGTCCAGGTCACCCTGACAGCACCACTAAAGGCATGAAAGGGGACTCCAGAGCTCTTCAGAAAGCGGCAGGGACAGCAGGGTAAGTGTGCTCAAAACCTGGGCGAGGAGTACTTGAGGTATTAATGCTAATGTGTCTTCTACTATCATACATTGAAAACATATGCACCTAAAAGTCACCGTAGTTTTGGGTCACTCCACACAGGGTGGCGTGGAGAGGTTTGGTCACACAGCCAGCAAGACAGTTTTCCCAAAGGACCTCAAGGACCGGGCCGGGAGAGCCCACAGCTGGGCGGGCCCGCGTGGTCTCGGTCCTGGCCCGGTGTCTCGGCAACGGCCGCCAGCAGCAAGCGGCTCACCTGCAGCTCCTCCTCCAGGCCCTTAATTTGATGGTTGTTCAGCTGCAAGACGTGGGACTTGACGCCACTGCGGCCCATGGCGCTGAGGGTCACATTGAGCTCCTTGTCCTCGGTGGTATGGGAAGCGATCCAGTACTCAGACAGGGCGTCCAGGGCGATCACTGTGTCCTGAGGACAGCAGGCCAGACTCAGGCACTGGGTCTCAGGACCGCCACCACCAAGCGCCCGCCAGGCCCTACCTGCGTGCTGCGGAAGCCGCCGTGGAAGCTGCCCTGATGGGTGAGCCAGTTGGCCACCTGCTCAGCCAGCTCGTCCTTGCCCTCCCGGAGCAGCAGATGCAGCAGGCCGTAGGCCGTGGTTTCGATCCACAGCGCTGGGGCCTGGGGCACGGGGTCTGTTGGGCTGAGAGGAGCCGGGGTGGGCGGCACAGCATTGCTCTGAGAAGTGATGACCGAGCCCCAGTACCGTTTATCTGGAAGGGAAAGGGTGGGGGAGGCGGGGAGGATCCCGGTCACCAGGCCTTTCAAGAGCCCTGTCCTCCCTCACTTTATCCACCTCACAGCCTCCGGGCTCTCGCCCTCTGGGCACCCCAGGTCCCCAGGTCCCCGGCTCCAGGCTCCCTGTGAGGATCCTGCCCTCACCGCCAATCTCCTGGGCCATGACCATGAGGCTGTTGTGAGCGACATCCTGCAGCTCCTGGGGGGCCTCGGTCAGCGTCAGGGCGTAGGCCGTAATGGCGGCTGCGTGGGTGCCCAGAAGCCCGGCGCTTGCTTTGCTTCCCAAGAACTCGTCTGCCTTTGAGATGGAGGCTTTCTAGAAGAAAGAGGAAGGTCTGGGGCTGGAGCCCTGGGCCCCCGAGGAGAAAGGGGGAGCTGGGGACTGGGGGAGGGCAGGGGCCCCGTGCGTCCTCACCACCCTTTGCTTCAGCTGCTCTGCGCTCTGGTCCTGGAAGGCGGCCAGCCCGTGCTGGAGGGCGATGACCACGAAGGCAGTAAGTGCCACCGTCTCATCTGCTCCCACCAAGCCCCCCTGGCGACAGGAGACAAGGAGACGTCAGCCGGGAAGGGAGGGGCTGGGACAGTCTTCTCCGCGCGCCTCAGGCTGCCCGGCACCCGCACCTGCATGCCTCTGTGCATAACTGGGCAGGGATCGTGGAAGGAGCCGTCCTCCTGCTGCTTGGACAGCAGCCACCCGGCCGTCTCCTGCAGCTTCTCAGGAGAGCCCCCCACCTGCTCCTGGGCCAAGCTCAGCACCTTCAGCACAAAGGCTGTGAGCCTAGAGGGGAGAGAGGGCTAGCTGGGGACACAGAGCCCGTCCCCAGCCACCTGGCTATTCATTGTCCCGTGGCCCTGACCCCAGTTACACCCCCGAAGCTGCCGCCCAACCTCACCAAGTGCTGCTGTCGCGGCTTAACCAGGCCGCGTAGGAACCATCCGACTTCCGGTACTCTTGGATCTTCATGTAGCCTGGGAGGGCAGAGGCTGCTGCTGAGGTGCCGAGGCACGGCGGGCCCACCTCCGGGAACTGTGCTCCCGGCCCGCTCCCGCCCGGCCCTGCACCCAGAACCTTTCTGGATCAGATCCACAGCGCGGTCCTTGGTCTCGGGGGGCAGTCTGCTCCACTGCTCCGTCTTGTCCAGGTAGCGGGAGGCAGCCAGCGTTGGAGCCAAGAGGGTCATCGTTTGCTCGCCGCAGCCCGTGGGAAGCTTCAGGTGAGAAGCTATCCCTCCGGGGGACAGGGCGCCCTCAGAGCCCAGGGTCTCCAGCGGGTTCGAGGCTGTGGAGGGCAGAGGGCTGAGGATGAGAAGGGGCCTCGGATGCCAGGGTCAGAGCGTGAAAACGGGTCCAGGGTGCTCACAGGGGGGCCGGAGGGCACGCCCACCTGTGACCCTGACGAAGCTGCTCGAGTCTCCGTCAGGAATCATGTTGGGATCGGAGCTGCCCGGAATTTCCAAAGTCCGGGCTCGGTGGTCTGCAGAGACGGGAGAAGCTGGCATCTGTCCCGTGGTCCACCATCCCGGCCCTGCCGCCCCCGGGAGCTGAGCGCTGGGCTGGGGGACTTACCCAGGGGGTTGAGCTGATAGATGATTTCCTCCTTGTGGATGGCCCCTTCCTTCTGCCTCGGGGAAACCGGGCTGTGAGGAGCCAGGCCCTGCGGCCACCCTGCCTAAGCAGACTCCCTGGGGACTTGCAGTTAAACCTCAGGGACACTTAGGGAACGATCGTGAAGATCTAAGAACAAAGCGGGTTTGGGCGCCGGGCTCCAGCCTGCCCAGCAGGGCGCTGAGGACGGGGACCAATCTGGGGACCTGGCCCAGGGCTGTGCCACTCACCTCAATTTGCAAAACCTTGGCCACCGCATCCCCCACAAGGGAGGTCCCTCGAGCCACCACCTTCAGGGACACGGCAGCAGCTGTGGTGGGCACCACGAAGAAGGGCACGGGCCGGGCGGCGCCCGCGGGCACCTGCACCTGCTGAGCCAGCCCTCCGCCCCCGGCCAGGCACAGCCCCTCCACAGGGGCGATGTAGACACTCATCTGGGCACAGAGGACAGGGGTCAGCGGGGCCCGCCCGCCAGGCTCCCCACCCCAGCCCGAGCGCACGCGGGGCCTCACGGTCAGGTTCTGCTGCAGGTAGTTGTACAGGACGGGCCGCAGCTCCAGCTGCTCAAAGCGGCGGACAGCGGCGGGCAGGCGGACGTGCAGGTGGAACTCACGGAACACTCGGAGTCGGGCCGGCGTGGCCACGCACAGGCCTGGGGACGGCAGGAGGGGGCGGGGGCCAGGTCAGAGGGCGCATCGAGGCCTCAGGGCCACGGGAAGCAGGGGCAAGGGGCCCAGCGGTGTCCTCGATGCCCCTGCTCTTTGATCCAGGCCAGTACAGTCGCCCCCATCCCCCGGGCTCCCTTCCCCGCCAAGCACAAGGAGCTCGGCCAGGAGCTGGGTGGGTGGAAGCGGAAGGGGGCGGCCTGAGACGCAGGCAGGACACCTCACCCGTGCTTTGGGACAGGCTGACGCCATGGATCTCCCACGTGGTCATGGAGTCAGGGAGCCACACCGTCAACCTGAAGCCAAGGTGGAGAAACCCGTCACACCTGGGCTGGCGGCACCGCCCCGCGGCGAGGTCCGGCCGTGCTCACGTTTGGGAGCGGTCCACGGTCAGCACCCTCCACAGCCAGTTCTCTGGGAAGAAGCTGCGCACCCGGATCTCGTCCTCCTCCAGCAGCTCCTCCTCCTGCAGCACCTCCAGGGCTGGGACCAGGGAGCAGGTGAGGGAGGGCGTCCCCACTCCGGAGGAGCACAGCTGTCCCCCGCCCCGCCAGGCACACACCTCTCCCGAGGCCCCCCGGGCTCTCGGCCCAGCTCTTCTTGCGCAGGTTCTCAGCAAACTGGCAGCAGGCCAGGAAGGGCTCCCGGCAGGCCGGCTGCGGCACGCGAGCCGCTCGCTGCTCACAGGAGCGCGCCATGGGCAGCCGCGTCAGTCCATCCTGGCAGCAGCGCTTGGCCTCTGGGGAAGTGTACTGGCCCACTGCGGGCCAGGGGAGGGCGGGCGGGAGAGCAGGAGATGAGGCCCAGCTGGGTGAGGCCCCGGCAAGGGCCTCTGCCCTCCCACCTTGCCCCGGGCCTGGCTGCCTGGCTCTCCAAGGGAGCGGACTTCCCCCTGAGCCAGATAAAGGCCGATGCTCAAGCCGCCTCTAGGCACCCGTGACTCACACTTCTCACTGGTGGCCTTCTGGAAGTCCACAGTTCTCTTTTGCCTGGTTTTCCCCTCCTTGGGACAGTGCAGAGCTAGCAGACAGCAAGACTTCTGGTAAGTCCCAGGGCGCGCATGTGGCCTCCAGCCGCCCCGTCTCCCGCCCAGCGGCCCAGCCCGCTTCTGCTTGCCCAAGCCCCTCGCCCTCCCTTCTTTCCCCACCCGTGCCCTCTCTGACGGTCCTCACTCTCCCTGACGGACGTCCGCAGGTCTCCATCAGAGAAGGCCAGGCCCGTGGCCTTGAACACCTGAAGGGCACTGTCGCCACCCCCAGGGCCGCAGCCGAGGCTGTAGCTGTTCATGACTTCAAAGACCTGGTGTGAGAAGTCGGGGACGGGGAGACGGGAGCTGCTGAGGGGCAGGACCAGCCACACGGCGACAGGTAACAAGGCCCAGGCCCAGGCCCACAGGACAGACACGGGGCGGACAAGGCCCAAGGCCTGAGGGAGGACAGGCGGGGGTCCGTAGGAGCCCGAGAGGCCCCAAACTGAGCTCACAGCAGGGAAAGGAGCCAGGAGGGACTAGCGGACCGGAGCCGGACTGACAAACCTTGGCCATGTTGAGAGGTTTGTGAGTCTTGCTTCCCACGGCATACAGAGCCGTGTCCACAGCTCCCAGTGCCACCAGGGCTTTAGAGTCGGTGCGCAGCTGCAGCTTCACACTGTCCCCATTGCGATAGTCCTTGGCACTGTCCAGGTTCAGCTCCAGCTGACAGAGAAGGAAGTGGGGGAAGACTTCCAATCCCGAGCACTCTCGGGGCACCCCAAACTAAACCAGGCCTCGCTGGCATTAGCGGCGTCTTCCTTCTACAGACAGACATACACACACACCCCGCTCCTGACCCCAGGCACCTTGCCCTCACAGGCCCCCGTCTCGACGTCCACTCGCAGGGAGTTGGCCACGGGCTGGCCTTGATGATAGTAGAAGGCCACAAAGTAGAAGGAGGGCACCAGGCGGTGGTCCACAAGCACCGAGACAGAGGTCAGGTCCGCCCTGCGCTCTCGGCCCACGTGCAGGATCTCGCCTCGGGACAGGATCTGGGCCAAGGGGAAGGGCAGAGGGGTTTCCTCTTCGTGTCCGATCCTGGTCCTGCAACCCTGCCCAGCCTGTCCCGAGGCTCTCCCCGCCCTGCCCCGCCCTGCTCCGGCTGTGCACACCATGTAGTAGTAATAAGGGAAGGTGGCCCGGCTGAGACCCACGGTCCGCAGATTCAGGACGACAGTTTCCTGCACTTTAGGGGCCCGATGGTCCAACCGCTCAATAGACAGAAAGCCAGAGCTTCCCGCGGGCAGGGCTTGCACAGTGAGCCTGGCCACTGCGGGGTAGAGGGAGCCTGCCGACACCTGCAGGGGAGGGATAAGGTCAGTGACAAGGCTGTGAGTCCCTGTGCTCCTCCCAAGCCAGGCCAGGGTCCCTCAGGAACCCGCGTGGCCTCCCCACAGGCAGGAAAGGCGTACCAAGAGCCGCAGTTCCGTGGTGCCCTGCGGGACGTGGATGGAAACGTGGACCTGGCCTGTCCTGTCTGTATTTTGTTTAACATCTGGGACGCCAGAAACAGACCCAGAGAGTGTGGTGGAGACTTTGACGGGAACGCCAGAGGCTGGGGAGCCTGACGCTTCTCGGACCAGGGCCTAGGCGGGCAAGAGGAGGCCAGTGAAAGAGAGTGGTCAGCAAGACCTGGTCCTCCACCCTGCCCAGCCCCACCCTGTCCCCCAGAAGCAACCTGCAGCACGAAGGGGGCCCCTGGCACGAGATGGCGTTTGGTGTTGCTCAAGTCCAGGGAGAAGCTGGATGGCACGAAACGCCAGGATGTGAGCTCCGCCTCCTCAATCTCCCCCCCTGCAAGACAAAGGGCAGAGAAGTGGAGGGCAGGGCCTGAGAAGAGAGGGCGAGGGCAGACGGGTGCCTGAGCGTCTTCCCCACACGAGTCTGACTTGCACTCATCTCTACAGGCGCCGAGGCCCAACACAGCCGCGGCACACGGACGTCGGCAGGGGGGACACGTGATCGAGGGGAACCGAGACAGGAAGGGGAAGGAAGCACAGCAGAGCTGGAGGGAGACAAGGTCTGCTGGGCCCAGGCAGGCGCAGTCGGGGCAGGAGCCAGTGCTGGGGAGCAGGGCGCGTGCAGAGCTGGCTTTCCTCCTGCTGGGGGGTGCCCGGGGAACTCTGTACCATGAGCTACACCCTCAGCGCTGTGCATATTTTACTCTGAGATGAGGTCTTATTCAACTGCCTGGCTGGCCTTGAACTTGTGGTTCTCCTGCCTCACGGGCTAGGGTTAGTTAATGCGCGCCCTACGCCCAGCCGTGATTCGGATCTTAGGGGTCCCCAAAGGTCCGCGTGCGGCTCTGTTCGAGGTGACAGAACTCTTCCAAGGTGGGGCTTTAGGGGGACGGCGGTGCCGGGGTGTCCCGGGAAGCTGGCGGAGGGAGCCTGGCCCAGCCCTTCCTCTCCTGGCTTCCGGTCACCTCGAGGGGAGCAGTGCTTCCCTGTGCCACACCCCCAGCACGCTGTGCAGCCGAGCCCAGGCCCGGCCGGGGGAGCCGAGCCCAGGCGCGCGGCTGCTTCCCTCCGACGGCAGCGCAGTCGGCCCCGGGCCAGAGGCAGGGCTGGGTCGCGAGGGACGCCACCCACCTGGGGACTCGATGACGGCTGCTGCGGCATAGAGACGAAGGCCCTGGAGCTCAGCGACACTGATGTTCAGCTTCTGCAGGGCACCCTGGAGCTCACCCCTTGAGAGGGAGACGCGGCTCTTGCCATCCACCAGCTGGAGCGAGGAGAAACGGGGCATGGGGAGACTGCAGCCCCCTCCCCTCCCGGCCCCACCCCAGCTCGGCCCTACCTTGCGTTGCGTCTCCAGCCCCCGAAGGAACGTCTTCTCACTGTCCTCAGCCAGCAGCGCGAAGCGCACATAGGCCACGCCCTGCACAGGCTGGCCGTAGATGTACCTGTTCCGGAGAGGGGAGAGGGTGGGCCAACGGCCAGGCGATAATGACCCGGCAGGGAGGGAAAGGGGGCGCAGGACCTGGTGGGGCGGGGGTGTCACCTGGCCTCGATGTCTAGTTGGATTTCACCAAGATGGTCGGGTGTCACCAAGATATAGGGCTTCCCGGGGGTGATCTTGACCTCGAAGTTGGGAAGGACTGACCCAGGGTGGAGAGACAGGCAGGTCAGACCTGGCGAAAGGCCCTGTCCCCCCAGGCGCGGCCCCCCTCCTTCGGGGATGGAATGCCTGTCCTCCTCATTCAGTGCTCACCATACTTCTTCACCTCAAACTTGGTGCTGCTGTTGGTTTCCAGGCTGTCCGAGAACTGGGCCGAGATCCTCCAGGTCCCCGGCCTGGGGACGGACAAGGAAGGGGCTCAGCCCGTGTGCAGCGGACCTCAGGCAGTCCGCGGCCTGGCCCCTGGGGAGAGCTCTGCGGTGTAGACCAGAGGCCCTGGAGGCCCAGGGTGAGCCCGACGGGAGACAGAAGTTGGGGGGAGAGAGAGGGGGCCGCTGCCACGCGAGGCGCTCACTCCGAGATGTCCGGGATCACAAAGTCGTCCTGGAAGATGGAAGAGGGATCGCGCACCACCTTTTTCCGCACGCGGAGGCCGTGAGAGTTCTGCACGGGGAGTAGAAGCGGTCTCAGTTGGGAGGCACACCCGCGCCCGAGTTAGGAGGGCCAGCGCCTCGGGCCTCACCTCCACTGTGACCAGGAGGCTGTCTGTGGCCGGCCGCATCTTCTGGTCCAGCGCGAAGACCCGGTACTGAACTGGGAGTGGGGAGAGGGGTGAGCAGCGCCCGCGTGCAAAGGGAGGGTGGGCTCCGTTCCAAGGGGGCAGGCGGCCCGGGATTTCCCAAGCAACTCATCCTCCCAGGGCCGGGAGGAAGCCGGGCGGAGGCCGAGGCCGGGGCTCACCCCGCTGGCCAGGGTTGTACACGGGCTGGTCAGTCTGCAGGAAGAAGTGGCCGCGGCGGGAGGAGAAGCGCAGGTTGACGCCCTGGGTGTCGGTCTCTTTGCCCAGAGCGCCACGCAGCCAGGGTGACTGGGCCACCAGCTGGACCTCAGGGCTTCTGCGCAGGTTGAAGAGGCCACAGGACGCGGCGGTGCTCCGAGGAACCTGTCCAGGCAGCAAGAGGAGGCGGCTGGGGACACAGCAGAAGGAAAAGGACGGGAGGGCTGAGGAGCAAGGTGAAGGAGACCGCGGGGCGGGAAGAGGGAGGGAGGCGCTGTCACTTGCAAGAGGACAGAGAGAGGCAGCCAGGCCGGTCACCTGGAGCCTGAGGAGCTTGAAGTCCGTGTCTGAGGTGAGGGTGAAGTCCGTCTTTGGGGAACACAGGTCGTTATTTTGGCTTGGATTCCTCAGAAACACGGATCCTCTCACCACCTGTCCTGGGGGGGCATCCTGCAGCTGCACCCCCACCGACAGGGGCACCCCCAGATTGACCACGGAAGGAGAGAACAGCAGCAGCCTGAGGAGACGGGTGCGGCCGGCGTCAGCCCGCAGGCCCTCCCCCGGCCCCGTCGCCCCCCAGGCCGCCCCCTCCGGACCTGGGCTTCTGCAGGGATGCGGTGAAGAGGCCGAACACCCAGAGCAGCCCCCAGAGAAGCCTCATGGCTAGAAGGGCTGCAGGGCTTGAGTCCGCGGGCCCGTCTGCTCCCTTCTGGTCAGCCGGGGGCAGGCGCGGGCTTGATGTGGACCTTGCTCCTCCCCTAGCCCAGCAGGCCGGGAAACCATGTGACAACCAAGAACCGCAACTGGCCCCAGGCCAGTGCTGGGGAGCAGCCCGGACCCCAGGCTCCCTGGGTGAAAGTGAAGCAATCTCGGCCCAGAGCCAGCTGTCCTTCCCTGTTACCCACTGGCCACGGCGCTGCCACCTCTGACGGGAGCGCCCGTGCGCGGGCACTGGCGGGCGTCTCCCGCGGGGCTTCCAGGACCCGGCCTCCTACTCTCACCCCAGCCCACACTGAAGCACCGGGCTCCTGCCTTCCGCAGGCCGGACAGAGCCCTGCGGCGTGGGACACAGAAGACCGGGCTCGGTCCCGGGGCAGCCTTGTCCTCTGAGCGACAGGCCAAAGCTCAGGCCTCCACTGGCTTCGCCGCCACCCCGAGCGAGACAGACCACACGTCATTCAGAAAGCGTCACAGGCACAGTACTTTATTTGGCGATGCTGGTTCAACACGGAGGGCAGAGGGCTCCGGCTCCTTCCCCGCCGCCCAGTCCCAGACAGCGCCGACAGCACCTTCTTCCCTGACGGGGCGGCCGAGCCCTGGCCCTTCTCGGTTCCACACCCACGGAGCGCAGCAGCCTGCTGAGCCCGCCTGGGGTGGAACCAGGCTCATGGCGGCCCCACCCGGCCCTCTGCACCCACTCGAGCCCCGCACTTGGGCCGGCTCCCAGCCTTCCCAGACGCCGCCAGCGGCCACTGTCAGGCGGCACTGCTGCCCGGCCCGCTCTGGGGCGGTGCGATGCGAGCGGCCCCTCACGTCTCTGGCAGGCGGAGGAGGGTTCCGGAGGTGGTGGAGACGCTGCGAGCAGAAAGACAACAATGCAGCGGGCTGCACGCGCCCAGGGCGGGGGACGCTGGGGACTCGGCAAGGGCTGGGGCTGGGTTCCGGAGAAGTCCACGGGGGACCTGGGCTTCCTGGTAAATTAAGCATCAGCCTGGAGGAAATCACTGTCCCCTCAGCAGCCAGCGCCTGGAACAGGACTCACCAGTCCACCAGCTGGGCTCCAATGAGGTCATGGACGTGGTAGGCCAGGCCGAGCCGGACGGCAGCAGGCGCCCGCCGGCCCAGAAGCTCCGACAGGAGTAGCTCCCGGTACTTGGCCTTGCGGACCATGCCGAGGACAGCCTGGCGCCCTGGAGGAGGTGATACAGGAAAGGGGCCAGGTAAGTAAAGCGCAGAAGCCTGAGGAGCCATCGAAGTGTTTTTTGTTTTTGAGGGTTTTTTTGTCTTACTGAGGCAGGGTCTCACTATGCAGTTCAGGCCGGCCTCGAGCTCACTTTGTAGCCCAGGCTGGTCTCACACTCACACCGATCCTCCTGCTGGGATTACAGGTGTGTGCCACCACGCCTCGCTTCAAAGTTGTGTTGGACAGGCTGAGGGCGTGGGCCACAGGCAATACCTTTAACAAAGTACTTGATGAATCTCCCAGCTCCGGGCACCGCCAGCCACCAGCTCCCCGCATCACGGACGGTGAGGACACCAGCGTTCACCAGGTGCCTGCAGGCCGGAAAGTTAGGAGATGTGGCCACTCCGGGAACCGCCCTGCCCTCCTCCCCGTTTGTGTTTGAAGAGAAACGGGACAACAGCCTCAGCAAGAGGGGCGGGTATGGAAACTCAGGTGGGACGGGTCTGCTACACCGCAGGGTCTCTGCTCCCGTTCCCGGGCTGGCCTCCCTCAGCTCCCCTTCCCCACGCAAAGCTTGCTCCTCAGACAGCTTCCTCGCAGAGGCCGCCCCGGCCACGGCCCTGGGACACCGCGAGGAAGAGGGGTCTTCTTCGGCCCTGCACTCCCCACCGCCCAGCTGCGCCTCCCTGCACGCAAGTGTTTGCTGACCCAGCCGAAGGAGGCATTTAGTTCTTCCCACGCTTTCACGTCTACCATGGGTCACAAGGTAAGGAGGCCAGAGCAAGACACAGCCCCCAAACCACACTCTGACTTAGCGCCTGCCCACTTCCTTCTGGGGGTTTAGTCTGGGTTGGGTTTTCCAAACAGGGTCTTGCTATGTACAGCCCAGGCTGGCCTTTTCTGTTTTTGCCACAGTGAGAGCTGAACCTAAAGTCTTCATACTGATCTACATCCCCAGCCCTTTCTTTTTTATTTTATTTTGAGACAGGGTCTCATTAAATTGCTAAATTGACCAGGCTGGGCTTAAACTTGTAATCCTTCTGCCTCAACCTCCCAGACTGATGGATTACAAGCATGCACCACCACGCCCGGCTCAGACTGGCCTTAACTTGCTATGTAGCCCAGGAGATTCTCCTGCCTCAGTCTCCCAGGTGTTACGATTACACGCATGGCGCCAAGGGGCTTGAGGGATTTGAATGCGGCTGTTCGGGACTATCGCAGGTCCTCCTCCAGCCTCAGTCCCCAGAGGACACCTGGAAGCCAGCGCTCCTGCTCTGCAGGCCAGTGCTCTCTCCCGGGCCCGGTAGGAAGGGCCTGCTCTCTCGCAGGAAGTACAGACTTACAGCATTTAGTTAAACAGAAGGGACAGTGAGAAAAGAAAGGAGAAATGGACATGAGGATCTTGCAAATGAGGAGGGGAGGAGGGGCTGAGGGAGGGTAGAGAAATGGAAAAAAAAGAATGAAGTTCTATCATGCACAGGAACAAGTATGATGAATGCTCTCATTATGTACACCTAAAATATTCCAATAAAACCTGACTGAAAAAACAAATTTAAGCCGGGCGTGGTGGCGCACACCTGTAATCCTAGCACGCAGGAGGATTATTGTGAGTTCGAGACCAGCCTGGGCTACCAAGTGAGCTCAAGGCCAGCCTGAACTGCACAGTGAGACCCTGTCTCTAAAAGAAAAAAAAAGATTTAAAAAGTAAGCAGAAGGGACGGACTTTCTCGCACAGGGCGGGGTGGGACTGAAGAGGGCGGCAGTGCCGACCCAGCTCTGTGGGTCCCCCCAGTCTCACGTGATCTCCGCGTCCCTGAAGCCAAAGGTCTGCGTCATCTGATCCTGCTGGAAGCTAAGGTCCCCACAGGCTGGAAGCACTGAAGCCAAGAACTTCTGCACAGCCCCGGCACACCGCCGGCCGGCACAGGCCTTCAGGACCTAGAACGGGAGCAGAGAGACAAAGTGCCCCTGCCCATCTCCGCCCCTGCACGGCGCCCTCCCGGCCCCTCCTCCGGCCCTTCTACTCTGCTGCCCTCTCGCCTCCCTTCACTGTACTATTTTCTAGAGGACCCACCCCCCGTCCACGCACTGTGGGGTAGGGGAATTGTTCTGTTTTCATTTCCACTCCGCACCCCCCACACACACACATACAAGCAAAATCACACACTCTGGTCCGGTAGTCCTCCGTGAAGATGATCCCGTGGGCGTCCGAGTCGAAGCCCAGCTGGATGATTCTGATCTCGCCCTGCTCCTGCAGCTCCTTCTGTCTCCACACGCATGCGCACACAGGGACAGAAAGGAGGGGTCTGTTAGTGAAAGATGCCCTCCCATACCTGAGCACCCCGGGGCAGGGAGTTACTGTGCGCCAGTTTGGGCGTGCACACTGTGGGGGGATGACCAGGCGCATCACAAGCAAGCTCTTCCACTAGGACCCCACCCAACTTGGCAGCTTCTGTAGACGATTGACGATCCACCTGGTTTTCTAAGACAGATCTATGCCAGCCCCTAAGATAAAATAGTGACTAAGACCTGGACCTGCCCTCCAGGGTCAGGACTCTGAGTGGAGGAAGTGGAGAGGTAACAAAATAAAGTAACAAAATAAAAGAAACCGGGACTTCTGTTGGTGAGAATACCGAAGGAAACAAGCCACCTGTTAGTATTAACTGAAATGCTAGGACAACATTTTTTTAATGTTTAAGCATTAAAGAGCTCACATGGTAACAGAAATTACCAGATTAATGTAATATCTAAATAAAAGCAGGAAATGATGGAATTGGGACAAGGAAGGCATTTGCTGAACTAGGCAAATCCGTCCGCCACAAAGCCAAAAATAACTGGGCCCATAAGAAAACAACACTCAAAAGAAACAGACTGCAAAAGACATGTAATAGAGGAATTATCAAAGAAGCTATCTTTTTAAATTGGTACCAAAACACAGTTACATGGGAGGAACAAGTTGGAGGTCTACGCAGACTAGGGTAACTGCACAGCTGGAAATGCTAATTACCTTACCTTGATCATCACGCAGTATACATACCCGTATCACGTTATCACACTGTACCCTATCAATATGTACAATTATCTGATCAAAAGAGACAATCTTTTTTTTTTTCAAGAGCCCCTGTTCATAATGCTGAAATAAATAAAAGCCAAGATGGAAAATCTCAACAGGGTAAGTGACAACACAAGAGGTCTGAAAATATCCAAGTAGAAATTCTAGAACTGAAAGATAAAGTAAATTAAGACCTCAATAGAATTGGCACAGCTGAATAAAAAAGCTATGTATCTGTATGAAAGATTTAAAAAAAAACTAACCAGAATATAATAAAGTAAATATCGAAAATACAAGAGTCTAAGAAAGCCGGGCGTGGTGGCACACACCTGTAATCCCAGCACTAGAGAAGCTGAAGCAGGAGGATCATTGTGAGTTAGAGACCAGCCTGGGCTATAAAGTGAGCTCAAAGCCAGCCTGAGCTGCATAGCCAGACCCTGTCTCAAAAAGACCCCCCCACAAAAAAAAGAGTCTGAGAGACTTAAAGAATACAAAGAGAAGGTCTAATGTATCAATGTATCTTTCACTCTCAGAATGAAAGAAATGATAAAGTAGAGGAAATACCTAAATACTAAACCCACAGTCACAGGCTGCTGTCCTCTGAGGGGACAAGCACCGTGCACTCACACGGCAGGAGCCTTTCCTAAGGGTCCCACTCCGCCTCATGGCCCAATCACCTCTCAAAGACCCCACCTCTGAACGCCATCACTACCAGTTTTAAATTCCAACACAAGAAGTTTTTCTTCTTTTGTCCTAGGGATTCCACCCAAGGTCTCACCCGTGCTCTACCACTGAACTACACTCTCAAACCAAACATGGGTGTTTTGGTTTTGTTTTGATTTGTTTTGTTAAGAGTCTTACTACATAGGTCAGGCTGAACTCAAGATCCTCTTGCCTCAGCCTCCCTCCTGCTGCGATTAACAGGCACGCGCCATCGTGCCTACCTGAACGTATAGGTTTGTTTTCTTGTTTCTTGGAAACATCTTGGAAGCAGAGAGCCAGCCAGCCCTCACCAAACACTGAATCTGCTGGTCCCTTGATCTTAGACTTCCAGCCTCTAGAACTGTGAGAAATAGATTTCATTTTGAAACTACCCAGTCTTGGGTATCCTGTTACAGCAGCATATACAGCTATGAATATACTCCTAAGTGGCATGAAGAAAACAAGGGGACAGTTATAGCAGCTGGGGTAGTGTCACCTCCCGAGGATGCAAGGAATTTTGATCAGGGAGATACACATGGGATGTCAGCCATGTCCTACAGTTTGGCCTAGGTGCTGGCTAGGTAGGTATTTCCTTTGGAAACATTCTTTAAATTCTCATGCATGTTTTTTCTTTTGTGTAATTTTCATAGCTGTTCCAGAATATAAGCTGATACCAATACATTAAAAGTAAACATTTTTTTAGGAAGTGGTTCCATCTCACTTGCTTCCTCATGTGAGACTGGTGTGAGTTTCTATTCTCCTTTTTCCTTTCTTGCTAACCCCAATGGACAGATTCCAGCTTTTACTTGACCTCTTCATAGAGCACTGCTTTGAGCCATTAACAACTCCTATTGTCTTAAAAAAAAAAATCTCTACTTTCATAATAGGCTTCTTCTCTGGCTTCCTCTTGTAGGGAGAATAAACTGTAATAAACATTTCTTAAAGGCTGTAACTTCAAGCGCTGGGCATGGTGGCGCACACCTGTACACTCGGGAGGCTGAGGCGGGAGGATCATTGTGAGTTTGAAACCAGCCTGGGCTACAAAGTGAGCTCCAGGCCAGCCTGAACTGCACAGAGAGACCCTGTCTCAAACGGCCGAAAAAAAAAAAAATGGCTGTAACTTCATAACTAAGCAGTCAGACTCAGCTGACCTTGGCCACACAGCTGTGACTCAGAAATAACTGACTCAGGTCTATCCGGCCAGCTGTACAATGCCCTGCACACACACTGGTTTTTCTACACTGTCTCAAGAACAATCTACCTGACACACAGACTAGTCCTGTCCAGGTCACACTAAATCTTGTCCTCTTGCCCCGCCTCTACCCACCCCCATCTTCCTGCCTCATGATAAATGACCCCCTCCAATTAAAACTACCCCTACACTTTTGCCTGACAAGGTATGACAAAATATATGTAACCAACTGTAGACTAACCTACTGTATGCAACCCATTATAAACTAACCCATTATCACCCTGTAGTTCCTGCTTACAAAAAGTATGTTAAGGTGCTCTTTTACTTTAAACCAGCGCTGGTGATTTGGACACGGAGTTTCTCCCCGCCGGCTGGCATAAATAAAGCTGTTGCCTTCCAAGTGCCTCGGTGCTTCGTGTCTTCTATCTGATACAGTCTTGAGTTTTCCACAACACTCCTAACTCAGGCTATTTCTTCACAGCTTCTTTCGGAGATTCCTCTTCCTCTGCTTTCCCCTTTACATCAGAGGATCCCAAATTTTAAAGCACATTAAGTTGAGGGTGTACTTTAAAAATGTAGATTCCCATATCCCATGTTCAGCGATCTTAATTCATGAACTTTGGGAGCGACCCAGGAAGGTCTCTCTAGTAACGCCGCCTTCAATGTTGACGTCTCCCTGGGTTGTGCATCTGGCCTTCTTAGCATCTCTTGCTCCAAACCCGGGGCCCTTAACCTTTCACCTCAGAGCCCCTGAAACACCCGCTCCCCAATCATACCTAGCGTGCGCATCGCCTGCGCCGCAGAGAGGTTACAGGCACTGCTGTACTCTCCCTACGGGATCTCGCTCACCTCCACTTCCTTTTACCCCACCGGCCCAGAGTGCTGTCCAGCCATGCACCCACTCCATCCGCCTTCAGACGCCGCGCAGGCGTCTCCAACTCGGCGCGTACGACGTTAACCACGCCGCCGGCTCCCCGGTAACCCAGAGCGCGCCTCCTCCGTCCACCCGGCCAACCGCCCAGGGTGGCTTCCTCACGCCCCGCTCGCTCGCTGCGCACCGCGCTCCCCTCCTGGAGGGCTTCGCGGGTCTCAGCCGCAAGGCGCCCGGGCACAGCCGCGGCACGGTGCCTCCAGCCCACCACCCCGCAGCCCATCGCCTGCCCGCCCGGCCCAGGGTGCTTCCCCCACACCGCGCCCTTCCACCCGGGGACGCGGAGCAACGCTGGCCGAGGGAGCGTCCGAGGGGCGGGGTCCGCGGGCGCCGGGGGGCCCGACGCCGCTCACCAGCTGCCGGTCGGCCGCCGTCCGGTCGGGCACGAGGCTGTACACCTGGCTCCTAAGCGCGATGGGCGGCAGCGCATCCTCGAACAGGGCTCGCGGGAACAGCCGCACTAGCTCCGCGACCGCCGCGCGCGCCGACCCTGGCGGAGACACCGCGTCACCGGGACCGGGCCGAGCGGAGGCGGAGCGGGGCAGGCGACCGGGGCGACCCGGGTCTCCCCCGCCCCCGGCTGCCAGGGTTACCTGCCTCGCCCCTCAGAGGGTCCACGTCCACAGGCCCTGCAGGCCCTTGCTCCCGCCGCCTCTTCAGACCCAAGGTCTCCGGGACCAGGCGAAGCCTCTTGCGACTCATCCCGGAATGTTATGATACCGGGGCAGGTGCAGAAGTTGAGGGAAGAGCTCCATAACATATGCTCTTCCGGCGCGGGGCAGTGACGTATGCGCTGAGTCCTTCCTTGTCGGCTTCACGGCGCAATGACGGAAGAGGCGTCGACCTGTCATCGCTCTGGCCAGTGACCAGCGCCGCTTCCGCCAAGCCGCCTCACGCTCGCTGCGATTGGCTCCCGCCGAGAGCAGTCAAGCTCGGCTATCCCTCTTCAATTTGTGACGTCCCTGAACTGAGGTCATCGCCCCGCGCTGGTGGAAGTCAAGGTTGGGGGACTTAGAGGTAACGCTTGGTGTGCGCCCTGATTTCCTTCCCGCCCTCGCTGCGTTTGGAGGACCCGGGGGATGCGGGTCCAGGGCAAGAAGAGAGGCGGGCCGAGGGCTTGGCCGGGGCCGGGCATGAGGGATCGGGGCCAGCATGTTTCAGGGCCACCACCTGACAGTCGGGAGGCTCGCTGGGTGCTGACCTCCCCTGCAAAGCGGACACTTTCTTCTCGCAGGGCCTCATGGAGCCCAGAGGGACCAAGCGGGGAGCTGCCGAGACAGAGGTAGCTGCGCCTCGGAGCAAACTGCACAGTACAGCGCCCTCCCTGCCCACGGAGCCTGCCCTCTACTCTGGACCCTTCCCCTTCTACCAGCGCCCTTCTGAACTTGGCTGCTTCTCCCTGGACGCACAGCGTCAGTACCACGGAGACGCCAGAGCCCTCCGCTACTACAGCCCGCCCCCCACCAACGGCCCGGGCCCCAACTTCGACCTCAGAGATGGATACCCCGATCGGTACCGTCCCCGGGATGAGGAGGTCCGAGAGGGGCTGGACCACTTGCTGCGCTGGCTTCTGGAACACCGGGGCCAGCTGGAGGGGTGAGCTAAGCTAGACGCGGGCGCGGTGAAGTCAGAGGCAGGGCTGCGGGGAGAGCGACCCTAGAGGGAAGCCGGGCTCCTCTGGGGAGGAGCCGGCCGAGCGGACGCTGTGTGAGACCCTTGCACTCTAACTCTTCCCTCCCAGGGGTCCCAGCTGGCTGGCAGGGGCCGTAGTGACGTGGAGGGGGCATATGACGAAGTTGCTGACCACGCCGTACGAGCGGCAGGAGGGCTGGCAGCTGGCGGCCTCGCGGTTCCAGGGCACGCTGTACCTGAGTGAAGTGGAGACGCCAGCCGCTCGGGCTCGGAGGCTTGCTGAGCCCCCGCTCCTCCGGGAGCTCAAGTACATGGGGTACAAGTTTGAGCAGTACATGTGCGCAGGTGAGAGTCGCCCCTGCTCCGCGCGGACCTCCTCCCGCCCAGATCGGAAGCCCCCAGCCCTCCTGCTGCTGCTTCTCTCCTTGTGCAGACAAACCCGGAAGCTCCCCAGACCCTTCCGGGGAGGTTAACACCAACGTGGCCTTCTGCTCTGTGCTACGCAGCCGCCTGGGAAACCACCCTCTGCTCTTCTCGGGGGAGGTGGACTGCACAGACCCCCACGCCCCATCCTCACAGCCCCCCACCTGCTATGTGGAGCTCAAGACATCCAAGGAGATGCACAGCCCTGGCCAGTGGAGGGGCTTCTACAGGTGCAGGAGCAGGGGCAGGCAGGGCCAGAGCCTGGGAAAGGGGCTGGGGAGACAGGGAGAGTAGAGGAGGGGTGCCGCTGACCCCTTGCTTTTCCTGCCAGACACAAGCTCCTGAAGTGGTGGGCTCAGTCCTTCCTCCCAGGGGTCCCGAATGTCGTTGCCGGCTTCCGGAACCCAGAGGGTTTCATCTGTTCCCTCAAAACCTTTCCTACCATGGAGATGTTTGAACACGTCAGGGTAAGGCACTGGTGTCACAGCTCCACCTGTACCTGCCCGGCCCCTGCCTGCACCAAGACCATGGGTGTGTCGGGTGTGTCGTCCAGGCATGCTTCCCCCCGTCCCTCACCGCCAGTCTTCTGCTCCAGAACGACCGCAATGGCTGGAATCCCTCCGTGTGCATGAACTTCTGTGCCGCCTTCCTGAGCTTTGCCCAGAGCACAGTTGTCCAGGATGACCCCAGGTGAGGTGTTCAGCTGCGTCTCCCCTGGGTGATCCCCGGCCCTCTGCCTCAGCCCTCAACCCTCACCTCGTGTGCCCCAGGCTCGTCCACCTCTTCTCCTGGGAGCCCCGCGGCCCAGTCACCGTGTCTGTACATCGAGATGCACCTTATGCCTTCCTGCCCACATGGTACGTGGAAGCCATGACCCCAGACCTGCCGTCACCCCCCAAGACGCCGTCCCCCAAGGACTGATGCTGCAGAGGAGCTGATGGTGTCTCTGCACGGAAAATAAACATGTGTTTCTAAGTGTTCTCCCTGCTGTGTGGTCTGAGCTGAGTCTCCCCTGTCCAACAGCCTAGGCAGAGCGGTGCTTTGCTGCTTTATTGTTACACTTTTACCCAGGGGTCGTTCACTGGGTGTAAAGACTGGCTGCGAAGACGATGTCTCGCCGTAGCAAGGTGGCTGCCGTCTCCATCTTGGCACCTAGCACAGGCTCCCCGACCAGGCGGGCTGCCCCTCGCAGCGAGCGACACATCTCAGCTAGGCGCTGGATGCAGCGGACCACCAGGCCTTCAGGAGTCCCCGAGAGCCCCGCCAACTCAGAGAAGGGCTGCAGGAGAGCAGAGTGAGGACCAAATGTGCCAGGCCTGCGAACCACCTCCCCGCCCAGCCAGCCGGCCCCAGCCCAGGACTCACCATGCCCCGGGCCCACTCATACACAACCTCCACCAGCCCGAAGTTCAGCTCGCCCACGAATTCCTCCACTGTCTGGTTCAGGCCACAAGCCACCTGCACCTCACCAATCCTCTGGGCCACCGCCCGGACACGCTCCACTCCCTGGGGAAGGGAAGGATAGGGCGAGGCCTGCCTCCTGCCTGGTCCAGGCCCAGGGAGGGCCAGACCGAGGAGGATGGCGCCCCTGCTCGCAGGGCGCATGGAGGGTTGGCAGTGCCGAAGCCTAGGATTGGAGGGAGAGGAGTGGGGTCCCTACCTGCTTGAGGGTGCTCGGGAGTTGATCCCCAGGGTCCCCGGGGCTCTGGCAGACCAGGCCAGACAGCAGGGCGGCGATCTCCTCAGGCCGCAGGGCACTCAGTGCGTTGTCAAACATGAGCTCCGTGAGGAGCAGCTCATGGCTGCTCATGGCGCAAGCCACCCGCCCCGCCAGCTTCACCGTGCCCGCCTCATCCACGTAGCCCAGGGTCCGGAGCACCTGCAAGAAAGAGGGTGGGAAGAAAGAAAGTAAGAGGGTGGGGTCGGGGAGTGCTCTCCCCGCTGCCGGCCCGGCGCCGCCCCCACCTCTACGCGCTGGTGGTACTCGGGCAGCAGCAGCAGCGACTGGTCCGACAGCAGGAAGCGCAGCCGCTCCATCTCCTTCTCGATCTGCATTCGCTCTCGCAGCTTCAGGTACTGTGGAGGCGCAGGCAGGAGCCGTCAACCCCCGCCCGCTCAGAGAGGCCCACTGGGGACAAGGGCCGAGCGGACCCGGAGAGGACAGGCCCTCCCACCTCAGAGCTACCTGCGCAGGAAACCGGGGGCTGTGCACACACTGAGCCCCCCGGATGAGCTCCTCCAGCTTCCGGGCCCGGAGCCCGCCCTCTACCACTGACACATCCTTCAGCTGCAGGTCATTGACAGGGTCCAGGGTGGGGGGTCCGGCGGGGTGCGCCTGAGCCAGGCGCAGCAGCTCCTGCACGGCGGCGGTCACGGCCGCGAGGGGAGGCTCCTTCCTGGAGGTGGGCCGGGTTTTGAGAGCTGGGGCAAGACGCTTCCTTGCCGTCAGAGCCCCCTCAGCTGAGGGAGTCTCTCGCGTCCCCTCAGGTCATGGTCCCCCTAGGTAGCACCCACCCTGGGAAAGGGCCCCCCGCCTCCCACCTGAATTTTGGCTGCTGCCTCCTGCTGAAGTCCTCGAGGATCTTCTCCCCACTCACACGGAGCACCTTGGTGGTGATGGCCGCCACGTCTCCCGGCTGGAGCTTGGCCACGGTGTGCTCACAGGGCCCTGTAGAAAGCGGAGCCAGCAGGTCGGCCTCGCCACGGAGCCCAGCGTCCTGCTCATGCTGCTCCCGGGGGGCCAGGCAGCCGCCTCACTCGCCTTCAGGGAGGAAGAGCTTAAACCCCACGAGATCATCGGGCTGCGGCACGTGTGCAGTGGCCGGGCCCCTGGCCTGCGGGTCCTCAGGCCTGGGCTTGTCACACAAGACCAGGGTTGTGAAGACTCTGCTGGTGGAGGTGGAGGAGACCTGGGGGAGGCGGACGGGCCAGGACACCGGGATGTGAGGAGTGGGCGTCACAGGGGACCGGATGCCCATCCCCGGCAGGGACCGGGGAGCAGGCATCACACAGTGCGCCCGCGGTGGGGACCAAACCCAGCAGTCAGGTCTGTTTCCAGGGGCCAGGAGAGGGAGCGGGCAGGGAGAGGATGGGCAGCAAAGCGGGGAGGAGGGCACTGTGGTGGCTGCAGCCGCCCAGCTAAGGGGGAGAGCGGCTGGGCTCCCTCCACCCGCGGGGTGCAAACCCTCACCTGCAGGATCACTCCCAGTGTGTTGTGATGCTCCTCGCTCTTCACAACCACGACCCGCCCCACCGACAGCGACTTCAGCCCATTCACAGATTCCACGATGCGCCGCTGAGGGGCAGGGGTGCGCACCATGAGAAGGGGTGTCGCTCGGACCCTGGGTCTGAGGTCAGAGCCCCCCGTCCCGCCCCTCCCTCCCGCACACGCCACATGCTCCTTCACCTGGATCGTGCTCCGGGTCTCCATCAGCTCCTCTCCCCAGCTGTAATACTCAGGCAGGTCGACCAGCTGGCCAGTCACGTCAGGGGCCTCTAAGGACCCCAGCTTCTTGGCCAGTTCGGCCAGGGCCTGCTCCTGGGCCTGAGCAGCGGGGAGATCTGTGAATGGATCCCGCCCGCCTTCACCCCGCTGGCCTCCCGATGCCCACTCTTCCCAGCCTGGCTTTCTCCGCCCTCCTCCAAGCAGAACGCTCCCCAGCCTCCTCACCTTGCTGTCCTTGCGGGATGGGAACTCGGAGAAGCTCCTCTTCATCATATCTTCCACCCTGAGGGCGTCCACGCGCAGCAGGTTGAGGATCATAGTGTACGTGAGGCGGAACTGGGACTGCAGCTGGGACGGCTTCCCCTGGAGCCAGGTGGGAGGATCGGGTGAGACCTGCCACGGCCCTGCTGGCCCCAGGGTGCTCAGCCTGCCCGGCCCCAGCCCCAGCTCTGCAACATGGGCCCTCAGACAGCCCGCTGCTCGCCACCTTGGCAAAACGAGATGGCTGAATGGAACAGCCAGACCCCAAGGGCCCCGTCTGGCTCCGTGCTCAGAGTGGGGAGCAACCAGAGCAGATGGGAGCTCGTTGCTTCCCTGGATTTGCTGGCTCCTAACCCGGCTTCTCCCAAGCCAGACAGCACAGCCAGAACAGAAGTGCAGGGCAGTGGGCGGGACCCTGCCTGGCCGGCGCAGGCCGCCCTGCTCACCATCACCATGCGGTGCAGGTCGGCCATCTCAGGCACGCGGCCCTTGCAGAGCAGGATGACCGTGCCCGTGGGGTCCAGGCCCCGGCGGCCGGCGCGGCCCGCCATCTGCACGTACTCCCCGGGGAGGAGGTCCCGGAAGGTGGAGCCGTCGTGCTTGCGCATGGAGTCAAACACCACGGTGCGGGCGGGCATGTTCACACCCATGGCGAAGGTCTCGGTGGCGAAGAGGACCTGGCAGAGAGGGGAAACGGGTCAGCAGAGGGGCTCCACACGTGAGCCCACGCCGGCCGCCTCACCCTGCGGAGGATCGGTGCCCCATCACGACTTGGGGATCGCATTTAGCTCTCAAGGCTAATCTAGTACTTCCTCGTTTTGCTTATGTGATCTCCTATTTCTTTCCTTTTGCCCCATACCCCACTCCCATCCCTCCACTGCCGCGATTCGGAGACGTTTCACAAGTTGCTTTTGATGTGAATACGGTACGATTCCTACAACATACGATTTACAGTTCACATACAGGAGTTTTAAACATCTCATGGCTTCCTTCCTTCTTTTCTCTCTCTCGCTCTCTGATGGCTGAGAGCTAACTGTTCTCTCTCCCTTTTCCTCCACACAGCATGTGAACATCTGTCCATGTTTCTGTGGTTATACTCTACCCGTTGGGTTTTTTTGTTTTTGTTTTTTTTGAGACAAGGTCTTACTATGTAGCCCAGGCTGGCCTCTAACTCACAGCAATCCTCCTGCCTCAGCCTCCCGAGTGCTGGGATTATAGGCGTGCACCACCACGCCCAGCTATCCATTGCTTCTGAATGCTGCAGAATACTCTGTGGGGTGCATCCCCCACGTTTACCTACCCTTGCTTCCAGTGAGGGGTACCCGAGCACCACCAACAGACCACCCACATAAACAATATTACAGACAGCAGAGGAAAAAGATATAAATGTATTCCTTCATAGATAGGGGTGAGAATTTCTTTGGGCCATATGCCCAGCAATAGATACTAAGCATGTTGTGTTTATTTTGCTTCAATAGTGCCAGAGTGGAGACAAAATAGTGCACCCCAAACTAGCTACAGCTGAACAAGGAGCTCTAGGATCACAGAGTCACCTCTGTCTCTGGCCACACTGGGCACCAGCCACCTTCCTAGATTTTGCCAGGCTAACAGCTGTAAAAGTATACCTCGTAACATTTCACTTAGTATTTCTGCTTACTAATAACTCTAGCTGTTCGGGTTTCTCTTCTGAGGACCGCTTGTTCATATCCCATGCAACCCAAGAGAGGAAGCTGAAAGTCCAGAAAAGGTAAGTAATTTGCCTAAGGATACAGTAAAGCTGAGATTTAAACCCAGGCAGTCTCAATCCAGAGCGCCAGTTCTTTTTTCGGTTTTGCTTTTTTTGTTTTGTCTTTTGGTTTTTTGAGACAAGGTCTCACTATGCAGTTCAGGCTGGCCTTGACCCCAGGCTGACCTCGAACTCACAGCCATCGTCCTGCCTCAGCCTCCCGAGTGCTAGGATTACAGGCAGGGATTACAGGTGTGCACCACCACACCCCGGTTCTTAACCACTGCGCTATCCTGCCTATATCCTAAAGGGTGCCCGGCTCGCACCTGCCAGTCCCTCCCTCAGTGTGCACACCTTGACCAGGCCACGACTGAACAGCATCTCCACGATCTCCTTGAGGATGGGCAGGATGCCACTGTGGTGCACGCCCAGGCCGCGGTGCAGGAGCTCCGACATGTGCAGGACCTGCAGGACCAGGGAGGCGGCCGGCAGTCACGACCTGGTCTCCCCCACCCCGTCCCTCCCGTCCGCACGGACCCACCTGGGGCAGCTGGCGATCAGAGCCGCGGAGCCGCGCCAGGCAGCGCTGCAGGAAGAGGTGGATCTCGCTCTTTTCCGAGCTCGTGGTGAGGTCCAGCGAGGTGAGGCCGGAGGCCTGCTCATCGCAGCGGCCCCGGGAGAAGGTGAACACCACGACTGGCAGCTGGGCCCGGGTGCGGAGAGAGGCCAGCAGAGACAGGTACACGCCACGGTCCTTGGGAAGGAGAGGAAAGGGGACAGAGGCTGGCCAGAAGAAGTGAAGCAGCGTCAATCAAGCAGGGCTCAAGGCTCAAGTCCAAGGGGTCCAGGACGGCAGCGGGTAGAGATGCAGGTGCTGGCGCGACCTCCCCGCCCTACCTGTGCGGGCCCGCCCTGGTGCGTGGGCTGCTTGGCCCCGAAGGTCTGCGCGTGTTTGCTCATCCTCTCCTTCTTTGCCTCCACGGCTGCATAGTACCTGGCACAGGGTGGGCAGCGGTCAGGTCTGGCGGGGCCCGGCCCCAGCCCTGGCTCTACCCCCCCCCCGGCCACGGGCTCACCCCTTGGTGTGGAAGGCCCCTCGAGAGTCCAGCAACAGGAAGAGCTCCCCCTGCGTCTTGGGGCTGTTTCCTGTGAACAGGTAGTGCTCCAGGGGGACAGGCCGAGTGAGCGTGCTGATCACGTAGATCTGACGGCGCTTCAGCCGCCTGAGAGGAGGGAGGCCAGGGAAACGGGGATGAAGGAACGCCCATCCCTCCCCGTCTCCTCAGAGACTCAGACAGGAAGGCTGCCCCAACCGCCCCACCTCAGCATTCTGGGCCTAAGGGGGACCCTGTAGCTACCCAGGCGCGCTGTGTTCCCCGGCCACAGCCCCGAGGCCTGGTCCCTCCCCTTTGTCCCCCAACTCTAACCAGGGAAGCCTCAGACCCTCTTCACCCGGGCCCTCAGGCCCACGTCTCACCCAATCCAGTCGGCAAACTCCAGGGCGTTGGGGACCGTCGCACTCAGAAGGATGATGGAGACGTGGTCCGGGAGCATGATGAGCACCTCCTCCCACACCACCCCGCGCTGGGCACAGGTGGGGAAGACAGGTTATGGGAGCCCAGAGGGGCTGCCCCTCTGCCCCCGAGAAGGGACAAAGGCTTCCGCTTGGGGCAAAGGCGTCAGGTCCTCAGGGTGTGGGGAAGAGGGCAGCTGCTCCACCCCACGCCCTTTACCTCTGCATCGTTGATATAGTGAACCTCGTCGAAGATGACCCACTCCAGGTCCCGGATGACGTCCGAGCCGCTATACAGCATGGAGCTGGGAGCACAGCCAGAGGCTGACGTGAGGGCACCAGCAGCTCCCCCTTACACCCTCTCCTCAGCCAACGTGTGCTCTCAATGTCCGCCCATCTGAACCCCCCGCCCCAGGCCAGGCGCCCCGCTTACCGAAGGATCTCTGTCGTCATGATGAGGCAGGAGGCCTCCGGGTGCAGCTGCACGTCCCCTGTGAGCAGCCCCACGTCCCCAAAGGTGTTTCGGAAGTCCCGGAACTTCTGGTTGCTCAGAGCCTTGATGGGTGAGGTGTAGATGGTCCTGGGAAGACAGCAGAGGCAGCGGAGTTCCTCCACGCGCTCGGCAGGGGCCCCTGTACCCCGCGAGCCCTCCCATACCCCACCCCACAGGCTCGGCTGCTCCCCCTCCTAACAGCCTTCACATCCTCCTTCAAAACAGGACCCCAGAAAAGTTCCGCTGCACCCCTTCCTGAACTTCTTAAGGTCATCTCTCCAACACGCCTCCCTGCCACAGCTTCTCCCGAACTATCCCCAGGATGAGGGAGAGCTGGGGAAGAGACCCATCCCAGGCAGGAGGCTGGGCCATGGGGCTGGCCAGCGAAGGGACACTGGGAGGCCACGCGTACCGGGTCATGTGTTTCTGAGCCAGGGCGATGGCGTATTCAGCCACCACTGTCTTCCCCGCAGACGTGTGAGCCGCGACGAAGACAGAGTTGTGCTGTTCCAAGTGCAGGATGGCCTGTTTCTGAAACACGTCTGGCTCAAACGGCCACTGTGGGAGAGAGAGCCGGTGGGGGCTGAAGCGGGAGGGGTCTTCCGGGTCCTGCTCCTGGCCGGGCAGGGCAGAGCGGGGAGAGGCTGGGACGGAGGGCTGAGGCTGCCTGGACGGTATCTGGCCTCTGGTGGGAAACAGAGACAAGGGACACCCTGGGGAGCAGGATGGGGATCCAAGGACACGGCCACTGTACCTGGAAGGCCGGGTGGGGAATGAGGCGGTAGAAGTCACCAACAGGGGAGGTGACGTCCACAGGAACGGCCCACTGCTCCTGAGCTGGAGGCTTGGGAGGCTCTGGCGGGGCCACCACTGTGGAAGCTTCCTGGAGAAGTCAGCCAGAGAGCCCTCAGCTTCCCCTAAAGATGCTCCGGGCTCCCCGCCAGCCACCCGCCTCCCTTCCAGCAGGGCCCCTTCTTTCGTTCCTCCACCGCCCACAGCCACCAACCTTCAACACCAGGTCCTCCAAACTGCTTGCTCGAGCCAAGGGAGCCCTGCAGGAAGGGGCTGAACCGGCGTCCCCTCTGCGTCCTTCTGTCTGTCCCGCCGCTTCACTCTCGTCCTCGTCGCCCCCACCCAAATCCAGAGGTTCCAGCAGACGGCTGAGGCTGAGCAACCCAGGGGCTGGGGCTGGGTGATCTGAGGAGCAGGGCAGAGGGGGCAGCCTTGTCACGACCGTCTCTATCTGTAGGAAGAGGGCCCCTGCGCAAAATCTACGCAACTCACCCTTGGGGACAAAGTTCACCCCTTTCTTGAAGCCAGGTGGGACAGTGAGAAGATCTGGAGACCAGGAACAGGGAGATGAAATCGGCGCCACTGCAGGCTGATGTGCAAGTTACAGCTTATACAAGGCAGCCAGGCGCAGCACGGACGTTGCAATCGGGCACAGCTCCTGTGGCTTTTCCACTGACGGCCATAAAGAAGGAAAGCTTTCCCCTTCCGCGGTTCCCTAACTTGCAAACACATCGAAGGGCTAACAGGAGCCCAGTGAAGGCCCTCCTGGGCGCCTTCTCTTCAGGGCCCAGATGGAGAGCCCTAACTCACCTTTCTCAAAGTCTATCTCCTCCTCAGCCTCCTCCCGCGCGCTCAGCTCTGTGAGGGTGGGCTCGTCCATCCCGCCTGGAGAGAGGGCGAACAGACAGGGACTCACGGGATGACAGCAACACTGGATGCGCAGTGAGCCCGCCCCTGGAAACCGAGGGCCCCTCTCCGCCACCCTCCTTCACCAGTCACCTGGCCAGAAAGGATACTGTGTTGGATTCCCCCACAGCGACTGGGAGACTGGCCCTGGGGGCCGGCGAAGAGACAAGGAAGTTGTGGCTGACAGGTTCGTGTTCTCCAGCAGGACCTGAGCAAGAGATGACAGCCTCAGCGAAGCTGAGCTTCTGCTCACCTCCGTCTCCCAACTCTGCCTCTCACGGCCCCTGACCCCTGACCTCCTTGTAGCCCAGAATCTGCCCTGTGGTGGGGTGTCTTTGGGCCTGAAGGTCCGATGGGACTGGAGCCCCTGTAGCAGCCAGGAGAGACCAGGGGTCCGTCTTCCTCTGCCATTTTCTGAAAGGAAAGGAAGTAATTTTCAAGTCTTCCTTCTCCCCGTCGCAGCTCCCTCAGCAACCCACCGCCCTCTCCGGGCCCCTCCAGACTCCTCACCGAGCTGCGTGCTCCACACTGTGCAGAGGGAGCCAGGCCGGGGATGCCAGAAACAACTGCTCTGCTTCTTGCTGCAGGTCAGGGGCACAGGGAGGGAGGCCATGGGGAAGCTGGAACAAAGGGCAGCAAGAGGCACTGAGACCAGAAAGAGGTCAAAGTGCAGACAAAAGAGGAGGTGGGCTTTGTATCTTGAGATGAAATGGTCGTGGTCCCAAGCAGACAGACTAGGGCTGCCAGGCCGAAGCAGTAATTTCCAAAGGCTATCCCAAAACTCCCTCCTACTGGGGCACTAGTCAATAACGCCGACTTTAGATTTCAGACTCAGGGGCCAACCTAGGAATCTGTGTTTTTGAGAATGCTCCCTTGCTAATTATGAGGCATGCTTAGAAGTGGAGAATTTCTAGTTTGAGGAGTCTCACACCCAGGTGAAGGGATCTATGCTCAAAAGTTAGCATCTCAGCGAAGAGGTGCCCTGGTGCTTGGGAATAGGAAGGGGCGCGAGGAGAAGAGGTACAACTGAAAGGACAGCTCGCAGAGTATCCCCGGCGCTGCTTGCTCTGTCCTGCCTGGGCTCCAAGCCAGGGAGGCCCAATGGGCAGGGGGTGTCCAGCATCAGTTGGGGCCCAGGGGAGTGAGGTCACGCTAGATCCTACTGTGAGACTACAGTAAGTTTGGGGCATACCGCGGGTCAAAGGTTAGGGTCAAAAGTCACTCACAGTGCTCACTGGAGCCCCAGGCACGTTGAGCAGCTCCCAGCGCCCTGTGCATCCCAGTTCCACAGCCCGAAGGGGCAGATGCAGGGGATCTGGGGGAGGCAGCACTATGGGGGTAAGGTCAGAGGTTAGAGGTCAAGAGTCATTAGCTTTCACTACTCCGTTCCACCTCTCTCGTCCTCACCGAGTCGCTCCGTCTCCATCATCCTGGACCCGCCGCAGTGCTGGGCAGCCCGGAAGTGCAGCGTGTAGCCACGACTAAGCCCCGCCCCAGAGTGGGCGGAAGTGGAGCCGACTTCCGGCACACACACCCCCGGGGCGCTGGTACAAGCGAACCGAAGGGCCGGACCTGGTACGCGGGAAGGCCGGGCGGAAGTGCCCGCGCTTCGGCCCGTGTTGCCGCCTTGGTTACCGCGTTCCCCGCCCCTCGCGCGTCATCGCTCTGAGCCCGCTCTCAGCTGCCAGCGCGGGCCCCACCCGAGACCGTGGGGCCCCGGTTGCCGCCCCCTCAGGTAAGGGCTTCTGGTCCTCACTGTGTGCTTTCTTCTGAGCCCCCTCTCTCTTCCCCTTTGCGTGGCTCTGGGAGCGCTGCGCGGGCTCGGCCGCTTCCTCTGCGCTCCGGACCCTGCGGCTGGCCCTAGCGACCCAAGTGGGCACGGGGGGGACCCGGTGCCTTGGTCTTGGCGACGGAGCGGGTGTTTTTCCCTCACGGGCCACATGGCACCCCGAGGCTCTGGCGTCTGCAATCCTTGGAAGCAGAAGCGCTGGTTGATTCCGACGAGCAGGAGCTTGGACGCAGCCTGGTTTAAACAAGGGGTTGGGAACGGCCAGAGGCAGGAGCAGCAGGCGTGGGGGGTGGCCGGGGGTGCAGCGGGGATGGCGTGCGAACCCCGGGTGTGACGGTGGAGAAAGATGTCTTGGGCCCTGCCCCTGAACCAGGAGCCACCATGTTGGTGATCCCCCCCGGACTGAGCGAGGAGGAGGAGGCCCTGCAGAAGAAATTCAGCAAACTGAAGAAGAAGGTGAGGGAGTGTGGGGGCCTGGCCGGCCTCTCCCAGACCTGCACTCTGAGCGCCTGGGGTGGGTGTGAGTGGATGGGGCGGGCTCTCCCAGCTCCGCGCTGGAGACTGTAGCCTCGGTGCGGCTTCGAGGTGGGTGTTCTCTCTTTTCTACGCACCCCTTCATGGAACTGTTACCCTCCCCTGCAGCTTTTAGCGCCGCCTAAAAGGCTGGTGATCTCTGGATTTTTGAGTTGTGTTCAGTCCCTTACTGACAAGCATCAGGTACCCAAACTGAAGCAGTCGTCTTTCTATCCAGTCTGACCTAGACCGTTTTCTTGATCTGTCAGTAGGGCTGACTACACTCAATTCTGTCCTGTGTTTGGCTTCAAAATTCTCACCTCTGACTTTTGGACTCCGGTGTTTGCATAGCAGAGACACCTGTCGAGTCTTCTGGTTTGTGTTCGGTTTCAGTTTTGAAATGAGGTCTTGCTGTGTTGCCCACGCTGGTCTTGAACTCCTGGGCTCAGGCAACCTTCCTGCCTCAGCCTTGCAAGCAGCTGACTCCAAGCACCTGTGCCACCGCCCTGGTGTGCCAAATCTTTCTAATTCTTCCTCCGAAGTAATTTCTCTTTTTCATTCTTTCTTGTGGCTTCCGCAGTAGGGCTTTGCTGAAACTCACCAAGGCTGTTGTAATGTCTGTCAAGTTTCCCGGTCTCTTCTTAGACAGACCTCTTCACTCTTGTTAAAATGATCTGTTCAAAATGCTACACTTCGTTCTCTCTTTCTCAGAACCTGTAAGTAGCTTCACGTGTGTAGAACAAAGCCCCGAAACCTTAGCTTGGCATTCCTGCCTAACCAAACGGAACTATTTACTACTCCAAAACGTTCCAAAAACCTTTGCTTTGTATCTTTGCCACCATATTTTGTCTGTCTAAAATACCTTCCTGCTGGATTTGTGTTAGGGAAATCCTACCTGGGGCCCAGTTATGTAGCTATTTAAGCATCAGAAAAATCTTATTTGCACTCAGCTGCAAGTAATCGCTCCTCTATAATCATTCTTGACTGCTCAGCCTGGTGGTTTTATTTCCTGGTCTGCGTGCTTCTTGGGGGTCAGAACTGTGTATTTGATTTCTCGGTGGCCCTCTTACAATGACATCGGCTTCCTTAGATAGGTAGGGGAAGATGGGTGAAAGCCCCAAAGAGGGCACGGAGGCTCACTCTTACCGCTTCCATCCTAGGGCTCAACTTCGTGATCAAATTCATTTGCTTTAGCTTCAAAAATGTGAGAGTGGAAAGCCTGGGCTACTGTGGCTTGGCTAGGTTAAGTACTGCTGGTGTCACCAAGGGCCCTGGAGGATCAGATGCAAGAGGCAGGGCTGCCTTGATGCGCCACTGCGGGGTGCCCTTTGTGTCTTCTCTGAGAAAGGTGTCCCCGGAGTGATCCGCCCAGGGCCCTTGGGAGCGGACGTGACTGGGGACGGGTGCTCGCTGATTCCTCTCGTCCTTGCTCCCAGAAAAAGGCATTGCTGGCTCTGAAGAAGCAAAGTAGCAGCAGCACAGCCAGCCAAGGTGGCGTCAAGCGCTGTGAGTACCGGCGGTGGGAGGGTGAGGGGGGGGGCAGGCGCCCGACAGCCGCCACGGCCAGCGCCACGTCTCTTGCTCGCCACTGCAGCGCTGTCGGAGCAGCCTGCGGTGGACACAGCCACGGCCACAGAGCAGGCAAAGCAGCTGGTGAAGTCAGGAGCCATCAGTGCCATCAAGGCTGAGACCAAGAACTCAGGCTTCAAACGCTCGCGAACCCTAGAGGGCAAGTTAAAGGTGAGCACACGCAGGCTTGTGGGAGGGATCCCGGGCCCCCGAGCGCACCCTTCCACGTTGGAGGGGAAGTGGGCCGAGGGAAACGGTAAGGCATATTCGGAGGCAGGCACGTCGCTGCACCCTTCTCAGCAGTAGCTTCCTCTCTTTCCTTGCCTTTTTCTTTCTTTCCACTTTCGGTTTTTTTCTGGTACCGGGAATCAAACTCACGACCTTGCGCTTGCCAGGCAGGTACTGTGCCACTGAGCTAAATCCCCAGCCCCTTCTTTCTACTTTTGAGACAGACTCTCCTCCCTATGTTGCCCAGGCTTCCTTTGAACCCCTGGGGTCAGGTAGTCCTTCTGCCTCAGCCTCCCAAGTAGCTAGGACTGTATACAGATGTGTGCCGCCACAGCTGGCCAGAGCTTTAGTTTCTTCCCTACCTACCCAGGCCTCCACAGAGACTTTACTGAGGGAATCAAATAGAGTTTCAGGCTTTTATCCATAAAATTTGCACAAGTAGGTGACTGCTACGTCTTCCGTATGGCACATCCTGTGATTCTAAGCCACCGTCAGTTAGAGCCTCCAAGAGTTGAATAGGCTGAAAATGTCAAAAGAGGCTTCGGTAAACCAAGGAGTTTACATCTACGTTAGGCCACTTATTTAAAAGGCAGTACATAAGCTGGGCGTGATGGTACATGCCTATAATCCCTGCATCGGGGGAGGCTGAGCTCCGGGCACTCTGGGAGGCTGAAGCAGGAAGACCACAAGTCTGACCACAACCTGAGCAATTTAGTGACTGCAGGACCCTGTCTCAAAATTAAACTTTTTTTCAAAAGGGCCAGGATGTACCAGCACTGCCAGCAAGTAAATAAAAATAAAGATGGGTCATAGCTCAGTACATAATTAAATAAGAAGGGTGCATAGGATTGAAAGAAAAAAAAAAAAAAAACCCGAAGAAGTCAAAAAAAGAGGGAAGAGGAGCCGCCCCAACTCAGGATTGGGCAGCGTCCTGGTCCAACACTGACGTGAGCTGCTGCTCCCTCCAGGACCCTGAGAAGGGGCCGGCGCCCACCTTCCAGCCGTTCCAGAGGAGCATATCCGCGGACGACAACCTGCAGGAGGTAACGGCCCTCTTCTGTCCCGAGAGGCTGAGCGTGGGGGTGCGTGTTCCGGACCACCCGCCAGCGGCCGGAGCCGCCTAACCGTCCTGTCTCTCCCGCAGTCCTCCAGACGCCCCCAGAGGAAGTCTCTGTATGAGAGGTGAGAGGAGCTGGGCGCCTGCGTCCCGGGGGGCTCGGGGCTGCAGCGGGGTGTCGCGTCTGCACAGGCTCGACAGGAAGGGAGAAGGACCCCCGCTGACCTCTGTCCACTGTCCGTGTTGCCCCAGCTTTGTGTCTTCTAGCGATCGCCTCCGAGAGCTGGGGCCGGATGGAGAAGAAGCCGAGGGCCCGGGGGGTGGCGACGGCCCCCCTCGGAGCTTTGACTGGGGCTACGAAGAGCGCGGCGGTGCCCGCTCCTCCGCCTCCCCTCCCCGAAGCCGCAGCCGGGACCGCAGCCATGAGAGGACCCGGGACAGAGAGCGGGAGCGGGAGCGGGAGCGGGACAGAGACCGGGAGCGGGACAGAGACCGGGAGCGGGACAGAGAGCGGGAGCGTGACCGCGAGCGGGACCGGGACAGAGAGCGCGAGCGGGACCGAGACCGGGAAGGGCCTTTCCGCCGTGAGTGATCGGGGCTGTGGGAAGGTGACCTGGCTTAGGGCTGGGGTGGGCCCTAGGGCGGAGGCGAGCCGGACAGTCTCCAGGCTGTGATTCCTCGCCCCGCAGGGTCAGACTCATTCCCCGAGCGCCGGGCCCCTCGGAAGGGGAACACGCTCTACGTCTACGGGGAGGACATGACGCCCACGCTGCTCCGCGGGGCCTTCTCTCCCTTCGGGAACATCATCGACCTCTCCATGGACCCGCCTAGAAAGTGAGCGCGGGGGAGCCCAGGACTCGAGGCTGGGGCCGGGTCCGGGGCGCCCACAGCCCCGACTGACCCCACTGTCTCTCGCCCAGCTGTGCCTTCGTCACCTATGAGAAGATGGAGTCGGCAGACCAGGCTGTTGCCGAGGTTGGGACTTCCTCGAGCTGTTCTTCCTTCCCCACTTCCCGCCTCCTGTTTCCTCCCTGAGACGCTTGGGAGCCTGGAAACGGGTTCCCCAGACGGGGAAGGTCTCTGCACTGTCCTCTTCCTCAGACCCCGGGCCAGTCTGGGCTCGGACGGCAGCCCCTGACACAGGCGCCTCGGTGTCCCTCACGCCTGTCCCCGTCCTCTCCCCGCTGCAGCTCAACGGGACCCAGGTGGAGTCCGTGCAGCTCAAAGTCAACATCGCCCGCAAACAGCCCATGCTGGACGCGGCTACCGGCAAGTCTGTCTGGGGCTCCCTCGGTAAGAAGCAGGTTCTTTCCTCCTCCCGTCCCCTCTGCCGCCCCTTTCTGTTCCCCGATGGAGGCCAGAATGTGTGGGGGCTGCGGGAGGGGAGGAGACAAGCGCTGGAAACGACTCCCGCAGGGACTAGCAGACGGGTGAGGTGAGGAGTGGGAATGTGGGTTAGGGTCAGCTGTGTCTCGGGGGCTGCGGAACGATAGTGTCATCAAGGAGACCGGCCTTGGAGGAGAGAGTGACCAGCCCTGGCTAGGGGGGTGCGCAGGGAGCCCAGGAGGAGGCTGGACCCTGCGCCCCGTGACCCGCCATGTCCCCAGAGAGCTGGCCCTTTGCACTGAGTAAGCTACAGCAGAGGCGACGGGAGGAAGGCCCCGGGGCTGGGACCGCATCGGAGGCCCCGGGCACTGAGCCCACAGGACACAGTGTTGGGGGGGGGGAGCGGTGACAAGGTGCAAAGACCAAATGCTGCGGGAACTGGCCGGAGTGACTCTCGAGGCCGAGTGGTGAGGGGGGACCCTCGGACGGGAAGGAGGGTCCCTTCCCGTACTGGGCGGAAAGAGGAAGGGGAGGCCGCCAGGGGCGCAAGGGGGCTTCGGCCAGAACTGCCCCCAACGGGTTCTCGGGGAGCCAGTGGCATTTCTCAGTGTGAACAGCCCTGCTCGTCAGGTAAGAGATTTTCCTGGGAAAACGGCAGAAAAAAGGGCTAGCAAGCGTGGCCCTGCAGGTTCTATGTAAGAGGAAACACCCAGTGTATCAACAAAGGGGCTACAAAGCTTTTCTAATTTTTAATTTTTGACATATTGCCTAAAAGTAGTGAGTTGACATCATTCACAAGTCTCAGCAATAACATTTGGCGATTTTTCGAAGAACAAAACATTTATCACAATATCCACACGCCACAGTACTGTCTCCGTCACCCCGGTCACCACCTCTGGCCCTGCTGAGGTGAGGGGCCCGCCGGGAGACCAGCCCTTGCAGCCACCAGGGGGCAGGAGCGAGGTCAGGCGCCGGCACCCGTCCGCCCTTAACGGTTGTTCTTCTCCCTCTTCAGCTGTCCAGAACAGCCCTAAGGGCTGCCACCGGGACAAGAGGACTCAGATTGTCTACAGTGATGATGTCTACAAGGAGAACCTTGTGGATGGCTTTTAGGGTGTGAAGCCGGATTCCCCCAATGCTGGTCTCCGTCTCGGTCTCAGTAAAATGCCGAGGCGGGAGCTCACACCTCCTCAGCCTCCGGTCTCTCAGCACTTGGTATCTGGGTCAAGCCTTTACACACGGCTGTCAGGTTTGATCTCAGCTGTAACAGCACAGCCGGTGCGCATCCCCCACTCCACCCGAAAGGATCTTGGAACACAGTGATTATCGCAGCTGTTTTAATTCGAGCCCGTGCCCCCTTCCAGCAGGAAACACCTCATAGGAAGTCCAGATTCTCATCTTTGAGTTTCTCCTTGAGCCAGGGCAGCACTTGGAAGAGATTGAGGTGAAAGTCCCGGGCGTAAACGGGTACCTGCTGTCGCCGTTTCCGGTCATGGCAGACATCCACTACTCCCCAGCTGATCACGCCAACCTGCCGAGGTGAGGGGGTGCTGTGGGCCACTCGGAACAGTTTCTCCCTAATGCTGGGAAGCGTGGCTATTCCACCTGCATCTGCGTCTGCACTGGCCTAAAGGAAGGGGGCTGGGAACGCCATCACCCCTGCTCCCCTCCACACCACGGGCAGACACATGACCCTAAACTGCCCAGGTCAAAGACCTGCCCCGAGGAGAGGCGGGCTCTGCCTCCTCCCGTCCCCAGCCACACGTGGGAGCTTCCCAGCCTTGGGGTCCCTGTGGAACCCAGGTGGGACAGCAGCACTCACTTGGATGAAGCGGCTCCTCTTGTGAATGATCAGAGGGCCGCCAGAATCCCCTGCAAGAGAGGAGAGCTGTAGGGAGAGGAGCCTTGGGCCTCCGGCGCCTGAGCCCCGCCAGAGAGCCTCCTCACCTCTGCAGGTATTAGGGTCGGCGTAGGGGTCCACTCCACCCGTGCACAGAAACCTGGGCGTGACCACCTCAGAGATGTCCTTGACTTTGTCGTAGCCCGCAGCGTGCCGGGCGTCCCTCTCACAGCCGCCTTTCTGCAGGGGGAGAGGGCGATGGACAAAGCTGGCCGGGGCCCTAGAGCGCCCCCGGCACAGGACCCCCCATTGCTCACCTTCTCTCCGTTCTTGATGTAGACCTCCTTCCGGGTCAGCTTCTTCTGCTCCTCAGAGACAAACAGAGCTTTGATGTCCTTTGCAGGGAGCAGCTCTTCCTCTAGACAGGTGGACAGACGGTTACACCCGCTGCCCCACCTCCCCCGTGCCTGGCGCTCCACCCTGACTTAAGCCAGTGGTGGCAAACCTTCGGCATCATGCTGGCCGCCTGCTTGTTATGGGAAGCTCGGAAAGGTTGGCCACACTGACCCGGGCTCCGCGCGGCCCCCCCCCGCCCCCGGCACGCCTTACTGTGCTGCTGGCAAGTGGCCGTCTGCGGAAGCCGCAGAGCTCGAGTTGTTCCCTTGGTGCAGGGGAGACACACAGGCCTGTTCAGGGGTGGGGACAGTCAGCCTGGCCCACGCCCCAGCCCCCTCCCTCGGCCTTTGTGGGGACCCCAGGCCTCTCACCTGAGGGTCTGGCTGAATAACAGCTTCTTCTTAAGCTTGACCAAAGCCACGTCATAGTCATAAAATTCCAGAATCCCTCGGTCCTTTTTCCCGTTGATGTTGTACTTGGGATGAAACAGGACTTCTTCTATCTCCAGGTCCTGCCTCTTCCCTCCTAGGGGGCGGAGAGTGGGCGCTGCTTTCCTGCAGGCAGCCTCCAGCCTCTGGCTCAGGGGTGTCCGAGTCTCCCGGGGTGTCGGAGACTTCCGGGCCCCCCTCCCTGGCCGGGCAGCGTGCGCCTGTGCGGAAGGAGGAGGTGCAGGCTTCCGTGCCCTTACCCACATTGACCTTGATGGAGTGCTTCTGGTCCTCCACGGTGAAGCAGTGAGCCGCCGTCAGCACGAAGTACTCGGACACCACGGCCCCCATGCAGTTCTCGTGGCCCTTCTGAGGCCTCTGGTGCGGCACAGCGGAGAGGGTCAGCCCACCGCTCTCAGCCCGCCTCGCTGCACCGCTGCAGCCTCGCCCCGCCAGCCCCGCAGCCGGGACGCTGTGCTTACGGTGACCGAGATCTTGGCCTGCCACGGGTTCCTGTGGTAGTCGGTGCCCTTCCTGTGCTCCCACACCATGCCGCAGAGCCCCAGAGACTGGCTCTCATCTGGCAGAGAGGGAGGAGGAGCTGAACCTCGGGGACCCTAAGGGATCCCTGCGTGTCCACAGGAGGACAAGGCTGAGGGCCTTCACTCCCTCCTGTGAGGGACAACAGGGCCACTGGGGCGCGGTGAGAAGAGCTGGGGGCTGAGAGCTCGGAGGTCAGTGATTTTCAGCCCAGCCCTTGCTGGGGCGCTGGCTTGGCCTCAGTTTCCACGTCTGTAAGATGCAGTGTGCCCGAGGGGTCCCTGCGGCTCCCCAGCTCTGCGGCTCTAAGGTGAGCAAACAGTCCAGGAAGCAAAAGCAGCTCCATGGGGCGCAGGAGGAGCGAGAAGGCCCTTCAGGCTCCCCAGGCTTCAGGATTAGAGGGAAATGAGCAACGTGGGGGCCGGGGCGCAGCCGGGATTCCTGACAGCCTCCCGTGCGCCCGTAACCTCCGTACCGATCATCTGGAAGAACACGTCCTCCAGGTTTTCCATGTCCTTCACTTTGAACACGTGTTGCTCGTTGTCCTTCTTGGAAGCCAGAGCGTTGATGTTCACTTGGTCCACCAGGGGCCCGACCCCAAACACGTACACGTCTGAGGGAGAGGGGAGTGAGTGTCTGCGCAGGGAGAGCGCGTGGGGGTGGGGGGGCCCCTGGGCCGCCCACTCACCCAGATAATCCTCCCTGGGGTTCTTGCGATCCCTGCCGATGTCCAGCAAGTTCCGGATGTCATGAATGACCGTGACTGGGTCGCCGCCCATGTTGTACAAGCCTGCAGAAGGGACAGGAACTCTGAGGGCGCGAAGCGAGAATGGAAGAGTCTGGATGAACTGGTGGATGGCGGTGACACCCCGAGCATGAGGACCTGGGGAGAGGGCCCCCTCCTTCTAAGGGGCCACAGGAGAGCTCCACAGCCAGCTGTGGCCAGGGCCCCGGCACGGGGGCCGCACTGGCCGGGTGAGGTGCCTGCTGACCGTCGGTCATGAGGATGATGACGTGGCGGGTGCGGTTCCAGCCTTCGGGAGGGTCGTCCCCTTCCCAGCTCATCATGCTGTACACGGCCTGGAGGGCCCTCTTGGTGTTAGTGCCGCTCTTCAGCTTGTGGTCTGTGGAGGAGGAAGCGGCCGTCACCCCGCTTGGTCTCCCCCCGCCACCCTCGTCACGCTCCGGAGGCCGTCGCTGCGGGCCCCGTGTTTTCCCGAGCTGTGAGCTGATCCACAGACTCTCCTTCGGCCACACGGCAGCCCCCAAGCCCCGCGCCAAGCCTGGGCTGGTCTCCCCGAGCCAGCCTTGCTGTGAAGCGGCCCTCCCTGTCCCTGCCGTGTGACCGCTCCCCGCAGCACTCCGAGCCTCTCTGAGCGCACCGCGAACCGCCCAGCTGCCCCTCGCCTAACCCCTGACCTGCGTAGCTGATCCGGTTGAGCTGGTCCGTGACCCAGTCTGCGTCGCTGCTCTTTTTCTCGGACACTCGGACCAAGACTTTGGGCTCTGTGGCGTACGTCACCAGACCGTATCTAGGCCTCACCCCGTAACTCGCCACCTGTGGGTGAGGGGGACGAGGAGCCATGGGATTAAAAGCAGGAGACCGCGGCCTGGAGAATTCGGCACTTTTCTGCGATAGGAAAAGCCCCGTCAAAGGCTCGAGGGCTGGTAAGCCTGAGGATGCTACTTCACATGGAAGGGCAGAGACAGGCCCTTAAGACGTCCCGGGACCGGGGCTGGGGATTTAGCTCAGCGGCAAAGCGCCTGCCTGGCAAGCGCAAGGTCGTGAGTTCGGTTCCCAGTACCGGAGAAAAACAAAAACAAAAAAACAAACAAAAAAAAGAAGACGTCCTGGGACCGAGCTGCAGAGGGGCTGGGGGAGCTCGGAGTCAGTCCGGGACGCGCCCAGGGCGCGGACCCCACCTTCTCGATGAGGCTGGCCAGGCACCTCTTGGCGCCTGTGAAGTTGCTGGCTCCGATGCTGTCCGAGCCGTCCAGCACCAGGTAGATGTTCATGGAGCCCGCGGGATCCAGGACGATCTTCCGCTTCTGTTGTTCCCCTGCGGGACCGCGGGGAAACACACAGGCTCCAGCATGCCCGGCTCTCCGGCCCGGCTCCGCCTCCTCCAGCTCCCTGCCCACGGCCCCTCTCTGCCCTCAAACCTGGGCTGTGCCCATCCTCGGCATCCACTCCCTCTATGGTCTCTGTCAGGGAGGACAGGAAGGCCTCGGCCACCTCCTGAGGGGTGTCGTACATGAAGGAGTCTGGGAAAAGTCAAAACCCAGGTCAGATGTCTAGAAGGGGAAGGACAAGTGAGCAGAGGCGGAGGACGGCGCGTTTCCGGGCTTGGAAGCAGCAAAGCTCTCCAGGACGTTCGGAAGAGCCGGGGTGAGCGAGGAGAGAAGACGGTGCCCTGTGTGGGGACACTGGGATGGGAGACCAGGCTCTGACCTCGGGGCAGGGGTCAAGGGTCACCTTGGCAGGAAGGTTCTGTCCCGCTCCAGGAGCCGCCTTCCTGGCATCTTCGCTGGTGGGAGCCGCGCAGCGTGAGCCCCCTGCTGCAGGAGTAGGTGACAGTGTCCTCAAGGCGGTACTGGCTGCCCATCTTCCTCGTGCCAATGGGGATGCCAGGGTTGGGGCAGTACGCCGCTGCGGAGGCACAAGACCACAGGTGAGCGCGAGTCTGAGCCCCCGAGGGCGGGGCAGAGGATGCCGCGACAGCGCGCCCTCGGGTGGAGCCAGGCAGCGGAGGCAAGGTTGTCGCCGGGCACGCGCCTCACCTCCGTCGTCGCAGATGGCCGTTTGTCCATCCCACCGGCCGTTCACCTGGCAGGTGCGATTGGCGGAGCCCCGGAGAGTATAACCGTCATAGCAGTGGAAGGAGATCTCGTCACTCACATTGTAGTAGAGAGACCGGGGCCAGTAGTCCCCGTTCTCAAATTCCTGGGGTCTTGGGCAGCGGATCGCTTTGGGGAAGGGGACGAGTAGAGGTCACCAAGAGCAAATGGACCCTGTCACCGAGAAACAGCTCCCTCCCGGTCCCACCGGAGCGGCTCCACCCCGCCCCCTGCCCACATCTGAGCACTGTCATCACGGCTGGGCCACCTGACACTGGGCACGTGCCCTCCATCTCCCCGCCACCTGCACCCCTAGGGCTGCTCCCACCCCCAAGGAGCCGGCAGGGCAGCCTCTACTCCAGCACCGCGCTCCTCTCCCGAGGGCTGACCTCGGCCCCACTGCTCTGCCCTCCTTCCCACTCTGCCTCGCACCTCTGCACTCTGCCTTCCTGACGACCTTTTGGTCTCGAGTCTTCAGGGTGCTCCAGGACCCCGTGGACCTGCAGGTTCGGGTCTGCACAGGGTAGGGGTAGAACCCCGAGGGACACACATACTCCAGGGCCTGGCCCTGTTGGAGAAGCTGGAAGGAGCCGCCTTTGATCTCTATCCCCTCCAGGGAACAGGGGCTCAAGGGCCGGGCTGCGAGCAGTGGAGTTGCGCTCACACCTGGAGAGAAAAGCTGCTGAAGGCCGGCAGGCTGGCCGAGCAGGGATGCTAAGGGCAGCAGTTGGGGAGGTCGCCCTCGCTTACCTCCAGACCAGAGCCCCAAGACTAAGGGCACCAGGCAGAGCCAGCGGCGGAGGCTGGGCCCCATGGTGTGGAAGGCAGGAGAGCCCCGGGCCAGGCTTGGGGACACTTCTCCAGGTCCGGCCTGTGTGCCTGCTTGGCTGAACTGCAGACCTGGGCCTGGCCGCCTTCCCGCTCCGCCCGCCCCCAGCCTTTTATGCAGCCTATTCTGGCACCCGCGCTGGCCCTGCCTGCCCTCCACACACCACTTTCCTGGAATAGCCAGGCAGGAGGGCCCCACGGAGCTGCCAATGGACGAAACAGGAACTGCTGGGCCCCACCCCTGCTCCCCGAGCTGAGCCGGCTGGGGCTGTCCTGGTCAGCGCCTCCTCTCGGCCCCTGGTCCTCCCCAGCCAGCTCAGACCACCCAGGAACGGGCCGGCTCGCTCTCTGTGCACCGTGGTACAGGGCAGAGTCCGGCCACTGTTTGTCCAGCAGGGTCTCTGACCTTCCTGGAATCACACTGGCCTCCCCATCCCCCACGCAGAGGCCCAGGCAGATGTGGAAATCTTAGCGTTTTATTAATTTCATAACTGGGAAATTCCATGTGAAAATGAAAAGGATCCAAATACCCCAGGGGAGGGGCTTGAGCACAGGCAAGATGGGTGGCATCACGCCGGCATCAGCCCTGGGCCCTCCCATCTCCTCAGGGCTCCTGCAGCCCGAGATCTCCGCAGCTGGGAGAGAAATGGGGCACAGGCCCTGAAGGTAGATGTTCGGAGGTGGGAGAGGGCAGGTCCTGGCGGGACAGCCAAGGGCTCAATGGCCCTGATTAAAGCGGCAAAGAAGAGGGCCAGAGATATAGCTCAGAGGCACAAGCACCTTCCTGGCAAGTGCAAGGTCCTGAGTTCGATTCCCGGTACCAAAAAAAAAAAAAAAAACTAAAGCGGCAAAAAGTTTAGGACGCCCTCCAGGTGCTGCCTGAGCCAGGGCTGCAGGCGGAAGAGGTTCATGTGGAAGTCTCTCGGTGTCGGGACGCCTCTGGGGGCCTTCCTACGCACGTTCTTGTCGGGAGCACCATGGCAGGGGTTGTAGAGGCCCCAGCTCACCAGGCCAACCTGGAGGAAAGGAGAGCAGGTAGACACAGCCCCTGCCCCAAGCCCCACTGCTAGGCTTCTCCAGATCCTCCCAGCCCGGCCCTGGGAGCTTGGCCTTCTCACCTGGAAATACCTGAATCTGCGCTCGCGGAAAACTGCTCCCCCAGATTCTCCTGGCAAAGAGGGCCCAGGGGCAGGGTCACCAGGGGCAGTGCACCGGCGCCCCAGCAGCCCTCAGGTACCCAAGTGCCCCTAGCAACCTGGGCCTGGAGGGCACTCACCTTTGCAGGGGTTGGCGTCACCCTCCATCCCACTGCACAGAAACTGGTCTGTCACCACCTGCCCAACATCCATCAAGTTGGGGAACGTTTTCTTATCCTGGGCGACAACCTCGATACACCTTGCCCTCTGCAGTGCGGGTGGCGAGGGAGACAAGGTGGGGTGAGTGGCCCAGGGGGTACTCAGTGGGTCGGTTAGACCTCAGTCAGAGGCAGAACGCAGCCAGAGCAGGAGGAGGAAGAGCAGCACCTGGGGAGCTGCCCAGGGGGCCCCCGCTCCTGCAGCCCTGCCCCTCACCTCGGTCCCCGTCTTGAGGTGCACGCTCAGTTTGCTCCCGTTCAGGGCCACAAAGTGAGCCGGGATGCTCTGCGGGCTCAGAAGATCTGCCTCTGTAGCGAAGGAGGCGAGGTTGGCAGAGGTCCCCGGACCCAGCATGCAGCCTGGGAACCGCAGACCAGGCCCCCCGCACCCCAGGCCCTGGCCCGTCCTCACCGTGGTCCCTGCAGGTGCTGCCTGGGGATTTCCGCAGGGCGATATTGGCCTCCATGGTGCAGGGAAGGCAGATGGGCCTGGGGAGAGGGCGCGTGTCCCACAGGCTGGCCCTCAGAGTCCCTGTGGGTCTCACCTGAGCACGCACCCCCACAGGGCACCCTCCCGGCCCCGACTTGGGCACCTGGCATGAGTAGACATCGGCACTCTCTGGGCCAACTTGAGCAGGGCGATGTCATCGCCGTAGAACTCCAGGATGCCCTGGTTCTTCTTTGCGGAGACGTTAAACCCCGGGTGGATCACTTCCTTCTCAATGAGGAACTCTTTGCCCCATCTGGAGCTGGGGTCCCCTGGGAACAGCATTGCGGATAGGACCCTGGAGCGGTCAGAGGCTGGGTGTGGGTGACGGAAGTTGGGCGCAGGTCAGGAGCTGGCGTGGCCACCTTACCCACAATGACCCTCCACAAGGAGCGGTCCTCGGCCTGGTGGAAGCAGTGAGCCGCCGTCAGCACCCACTGGTCAGAAATGAGGGCCCCACGGCAGGTCTCCTGGCTCCTGGGCTGGGGGAGCAGGCGGCATTCAGGGACGGGGTTGTCCCTGTCCCATAGCAGCTCCCCCTCTGGGGTCCAAGCGCACGCGCCTTCCTGTACCTTGATGGTGACGTGCCAGGGTGCCCTCTCCTGGTCGGAAGCGTTGGCTGACATGTTCCCCACCCCACAGATGGTGGCCGTGAGCCTTGAAACATCTGTGGGGGCAGCGGAGTGAGGGGGCATGAGCGACAGTGCTCCAAGCCTGGGCCCTGTCCCCACACGACTCGGAGCGGGCGGGCTCCGCACCCAGCATGTGCTCGAAGACCTGGCGCAGCGCGGCCGCGTCGGGCAGCTTGAAGGCGTGCTTCTCCCCGTCCTTCTTGGACGCCAGCTCATTCAGCTCTCTCCAGTCCACGTCCAGGCCGCCCACCCCGATGGCATAGATGTCTGCGGGAGGAAGCGCTCACCTGAGTCCCGTGCGGCAGCCGCCCCAGGGGATGGGAGGCTGGAACTTGGGCCCACTGTGCCCAAGAAGACCTAGCGAGCTGGACTCCCGCCTCCTGCCCACGCCCTCTCTGTCTGCGTTTTCGCCTCTGAGTCCCTCAGGTCCTCCGTCTCTCCCCACACCCGCGCTCACTCCGCCTTGTGCAGGTCTTGGCTCACAAGACGCCCCGCCTAAGGTCGCAGGGCCTCAGCCCCTCGCCCGCCCCCTTCACGCTGTGCCCCGTGCCACCTCCCCGCGCCCCTTGGTGTCCTCTTTATTGGGCGTGTTGCCTCCAGCAGGTAGAACTGAGCTCCCAAAGGCTCCGTTCAAGTGCAACCCAGGCTCCCCTGAATGCGAAGCCAGTCTTTAGGGGTGTGATCAGGCCCACCAAGGCCACACAGGGCCGGGGAGCCTGGTGCTCTGACTCCATCCCTGGCTCTGAGGTGGGGGGAGGTGGCCATGTGGCTGGGTGGCACAGCACTGACCCAGCTCTCCCCAACCTTCCTGACCTTTTTTTTTGATACCGGGAACTGAACTCAGGACCTTGTGCTTCCCAGGCAGGCGCTTATGCCGCTGAGCTATATCCCTAGCCCTCTGACCCTTTTTAATAAAGAGTTTTCAAGCATTTGATCCTGTCTTGGGCAGGAAGGAGGAAGGAGGTGGGGTCTGAGTTTTGTCTTCCTTGGGCCAGAGAGGGTTTTTTTTTGTTTGTCTTTTTGAGACAGGGTCTCACTATGCAGTTCAAGCTGGCCTTGAACTCACTTTGTAGCCCAGGCTGGTCTCAAACTCACAATGATCCTCCTGGCTCAGCCTCCTGAGTGCTGGGATTACAGGCATGTGCCACCATGCCCAGCTCTGTGCCAGACAGTTTTAAAGAAAAATTGTGTGAGGCCTTGGGTTCAATCTCCAGCACTGCAAAACACACGTGTGCGCGCGCACACATACATGCACATGCACACAATCAGCTTACCCAGGTGGGGGCAAGGTTGAAATGAAAAGAAGAAAACCCAAGGGGAAAGATTTTTGAAAGCTCAAAACCAGCTACCAGCCAGGTGCAGAGGACACACCTGCAGTCCCAGCTACTTGGGAGGCTGAGGCAGGAGGATCGGTCAATAGTTTGAGCCCAGCCGGGCCTGTAATCCCAGCACTCCGGAGGCTGAGGCGGAAGGATCATTGCGAGTTTGAGACCAGTGTGGGCTACAAAGTGAGCTCATGGCCGACCTGAACTGCATAGCGAGACCCTGTCTCAAAAAGATTAAAAAAAAAAAAAGTTTGAGCCCAGCCTAAGCAATTTAGAACTGTGTGAGACCTTGTCTCAAAGTGAAAATATTTTTTAAAGGTAGAGGACGTAGCTCTGAACAAAGGCGCTGGGTTCAAAAAAGATAATTCCTTCCTGGGCAAAGGTGAGTGCAATTTGTGTTTTCCCTGAACCTGAGGAATGGTTCCGTCAGAGGCTGCGGCAGCCAAAGGGTTAGTCAGCTAACACACGGCTGAACGAGGAACTGCAGGGCCTGTCCCGGGAGGACCCGGGTTCCCTCTTCCCGGAAAGGTCCTGAAACGGGAGACGGGGTGCGGACCCCAGGTGCGGAGGGCGGGCACACGCCCCGCCCACCCAGACGCCCGGCGGGGGCGGGCAGGGGACTCGGGCTGCGCGGGCGTCAGGACACCGGGGACCGGCGAGGCCCCCGACCCCCACCGGGACGTGGGGGCGGCTCACCCAGATAGTCGTTCCTGTCCTGTTGGATGTTCAGGACGTCTTTGATATTGTCCACCGCCGGCTTGGGCGAGCCGCCCATGTTGGACTTTCCTACAACGAGAGCGAGAGGCGGGCCGTCGGGGGCGTCGGGGGCTCCCCACAGGCCGGGAGCCTCGACACGCGCCGCTGGCTGGTATGTTCCACCTTCCGGACGCGGGACCGGGGCTCCACAGACCTCTTCTCACTTCTCATGATCCCCCCAAAAAAGTGGGTATCCCTACTTCAGAGACCGAAAAACTGGACACAATCAAGACGTAAATGGCAGGGGCTGGGGATTTAGCTCAGGGGCAAAGCGCCTGCCTGGCAAGCGCAAGGTCATGAGTTCGGTTCCTGGTACCGGAGAAAAACAAACAAACAAACAAACAAAAATTAACAAGAGGTAAATGGCAGAGGCCCAATCCGCCCTGGCTGCTCCTTCCTCCTGCGCCCCCTGCAGTTCTGCTCGGGAGCCGGACCCCCCATCCGCGCCAGCTCCCCGCACGTGGGACCAGGAGGAGCCTGCTGACCGCAGAGCGCTGTCACACAAACCGCCCCATGAAAATCGCGCATGGAAAGGAGGGCAGCTATCGCTGTCCCTGTCGCTGTCACCATGATTGTCGTCGTTGACGCCTTTCCATTTCATAAGTAAGAAACTGAGGCCCGTGCTTGTGTTGGCAACACACATACTAAACTTGGAATAAACTCATGAAAGGTTCCATATTTTTTCAATGTCCTGTAGCACAGGGTGTCCACAACAATTAATTGACTATTTTCAAAATAGCTTGTAGAAAGCCCGGTGTGTTGGTGCACATCTGGAGTCCCAGTACTCAGGAGGCTGAGGCAGGAGGATGACCACAAATATGAGGCCAGCCTGGGCTATATAGTGGATCCTTGTCTCAAAAAACAAAAACGAACAGCAGGTACAGATGATTTTGATCATCTCCAGCACAAAGAAATGATTTAAATGTCTGAGGTTATAAGATATACCAGTTACCCTGATCTTGTTGTAAATACTATACCCAGTAAATATGTATAACATAGAGTACACACTATACTCTATATGTACATACGTATGAGTTTTTGAAAACTAAAATGTATATGTTAAAAAGGATTTTCACTGGGCGTGGTGTCGCACACCTGTAATCCCAGCACTCGGGAGGCTGAGGCAAAAGGACGGTTTCGAGTTCAAAACCAGCCTGGGGCTACAAACTGAGCTCAAGGCCAGCCTGAACTGCATAGTGAGACCCTGTCTCAAAAAGACAATAAATAAATAAATAAAAATAAAAAGGATTCTCTGTATATTGTCATGCATTAATACATAATTTCACTGAGTTTGATCTCCAGTGCTGCAAAAAACAAACAAAACAAAACAAAACATAATTTCAGTAAAATATCTCATCTACAAAGAATAACAGGACTCTCTCATAAGAAGTTATTTTAGCCAGGCGTGGTAGCTCACCCCTGTAGTCCCAGCACTTGAGAGGCTGACGCAGGAGGATCTTTGCGAGTTTGAGACCAGCCCTGGCTACAAAGTGAGCTCAAGGCCAGCCTGAACTGCATAGTGAGGCCCTATCTTAAAAAGACGAAAAAAGAAAAAAAAAATTATTTTACATTGGTTCAAATGCAGTATGGTCGAACTCATTCCTTTGAAGTACATTTGCTATGCAGAGTAAGAAAAGACCGAGGCCCTGGGCCTGGTGGTGCACGCCTGTGATTCCAGCACTCAGGAGGCTGAGGCAGGAGGATGACCACGATACCCACCATCTGTCAGGAGGATGATGGCATGCCGGATCTCCTGCCAGGCCATCGTTTCCATGCCCAGGCGCGCCATTTGGTTATTCATCATGATGTAGACACTGTGGAGGGCCTTGTAGATGTTGGTCCCGGTACCATTTTCATGATCTGGAATATGCCAAAGGAAGGGCTCTCTTAGAAACTTCTCCTCCTGCCTGGCGCGGCAGGGGGAAAGCTGTTTTCCGGCCTGTAGAAACGCAAGTTATGAAACTGCTGTACCAAACTCAGACTTCTGCCCTCCACATACAGACGTCCTCTTCAAATTCAGGGCCTTTCTCCCTTAGCAGTGCCCATTAAGTGCAGCCATGGTGGCGCACGCCTGTAGTCCCAGCACGCAAGAGGCTGAGGCAGGAAGATCGCCACAAGTTTGAGGCCAGCCTGGACTACTTAGCGAGTTCAAGGACAGCCTAAACTACAAAGCAAGACCCTGTCTCTAAAAACAAAAAATAAAGCTCATTAGGTAACCCTAGGTCAAAACCATTGTCAGAACCATGATTCAAGATGAGGTTTCCAAAGAACTTGGCTGTTCGACATATGCTGCTGGCTGCCCGGGTGGCTTCACAGCGCGTGCGGGCGGAGGAGTCGGGGAGACTAAGCGTGGCCAGGCCATGCAGGGTGGACCTGGGAGGAGCTGGAGTCAGCGCGGTGCACCTGGACTTGTGGGGCCACTGCCAGGACCTGGGCTTGGAAGCCACCGCAGGACCCTGGAGTCCAGTGCCCCCCGAGAGGGCCCCCTCCGCCTCTCGCTGTCCGGAATCTGTCCGCAGGCATCGGGTCCTCTGCACCTCTCATCCGTCACCTTCACGACCGCTGTAGCTTTTGTGTTCCCCCTTGTTGTTTTGGGACAGAATCACACTACACAGCCCAGGCCGGCCCCGAACGCCCCAACCTCCTGCCTCAGCCTCCCGAGGGCTGGGGTCACAGGCGGTGCCGCTCCCAGCGCGCGGTCACGCACACCTTTGTAGTTGGCGTTTTCCAGACTGTCGATCACTTCGGTCACGTCCCAGGACATGTCGCTCGGGATGGGTATAATAACCTTGGGCTCTGAGGCGAAGGTGATGACAGCAACACTGACGTTGATCTCAAAGCTGAAGATCTGTGGACGGCAGGTAAGAGGGGGTGTGAGGAGCCAGTGCAACAGGGAGGTAGGAACGGGCTGAGCAAGGGGAAGGCAGAGGACCTGGACCGAGACCGACGGGAGAGACGCTCACAAGAAACCAGCTTGCCGAGGAAGTATTCTGCTGAACAGTTGTTCATTCTTTCCTTCTTTTTTTTTTTTTTTTATGAGACAGGGTCTCGCTATGTAGTTCAGGCTGCCCTAGAACTCACTATGTAGCGCAGGCTGGCCTCAAACTCACGGCAAACCTCCTGCCTCAGCCTCCAGTGTGCTGGGATTTTCCCAGGCACAGCCCAGGTGGCATAAGCCCTGAGCTGTATCCCCAGCGGTAGCTGGGAGGAAAATCCATCTATCTACAAGGACTATTGAGAAACAGATCATTATGAAACCATGTGCAGTCCAGGAATTGAAACTAGTGCTTGTAGACTCTTCTGTCCGTACAGCCTGCCAGTAAAAACATTATGGGCCCACACCCGACATAGGCATATATGTGTGGTTATAAATTTTTTTTTTTTTGTACAGAGAATCGAACTCGGGACCTCGTGCTTGCCAAGCAGGCATGATTCCATTAAGCTATATTCCCAGCAAGTGTGTTATAAATGTTATGAATGCTTCACTACTCAAATGTATTGTACACTTGTCTAAACCCGTGCAAAATTTGCAATTCTAAAAGGAAAATAATATGACATTATTAATTTGTTTGTTTGCTTGCTTGCTTTTTGTCTTTTTGAGACAGGGTCTCGCTGTGCAGTTCAGACTGCCCTCGAGCTCACTTTGTAGCCCAGGCTGGTTTCAAACTCATAACAATCCTCCTGCCTCAGCCTCCCGAGTGCTGGTGACATTACTAATTTAATTAAAATTAAATTTTTCACCAAGGGTACGGACATTCTCCTGCCACACTTCCCAAGGGCTGCCTTGTTAACATCTGTGGGAGACCATGGTTCCAGACAATGAATAAGAAAATAAGACCTTAGCCCTGTTTTTTTTTTTAGGGGGAGGGGGTGTTGCTTGGCTTTTTTTTTTTCTTTTTTTTGGTTTTTGGTTTTTTGAGACAGGGTTTCTCTTTGTAGCACAGGCTAACCTCAAACTTGAGGCCATCCTCCTGCCTCAGCCTCTCAAGTGCTGCGATTACAGGCGTGCACCACCACACCTGGCTCTGCTCTGTTCATCTTTGGGGTCCCCAAGCACCCAGCACCCAGTACCCAGCATCGTGTCTGGCCGGTAGTAGCAGCCCGGACGTGTGTTGTAGAATGAATAGTGCTGTCATAGGAGTTGGGTCAGTGACCCCCCCGCACTGCCTGGGTTAATCGGGGGAACTTCCTGGAGGTGGCGCTGTGAGTGGGACCGAGAACAAGGGAGAGACAGCAGGAAGGCTCCTGCGGCCCAGCGCCCGGCTGCTGACCCTGTCCACCATGAAGGAGGCGCTCTCCTTGAAGATCCTGAAGTCCTCCTCCGACACGCTCTGCGAGGCGTCCAGCAGCAGGTACAGGTTCAGGTGGCCGGAGCGCTGGATCTGGATTCTGCGGCCCACGTTTTCTGCGGAAATGTGCAAGGGAGGGTCTGGCTGCCCGCCTCTCCTCCCGGGACCGCCCCTCGCCAGCCCTGCACGGGCCCAGCACGCACCGTCCTTCCTCTGGGTGGGGTTGGTGGCTCCCAGCAGATGGGACAGGGAGGTGCCCAGGGCGGGGGCCACGTCCTCAGGGAAGTCATAGGAGTAGGGCCCTGCGGGAAGAGCCGCAGCGCGTGAGCGGGGCCGCGGCCGCGCCTTGGGGGACAGCGGGGCTGCGGCCAGCGTCTCGGGGTCACCAGGGCTACTCACGGCGGCACACGGGCTCCGTCCCGCTCCAGACGCCGCTGCCCCGGCACTCGCGCTCCGCGGAGCCCGTGAGCACCAGGCCGGAGGAGCAGCTGTACCTGACCTTGTCCCCGAAGCGGAAGCGGGACCCCATCCGCACCGCGCCCACCGAGATGCCCGGGTTGGGGCAGTGGCCAGCTGTGGACGGAGACGGAGGTGAGCAGGGTACTGAGCCCGGGCTGCTCCACCCCTCCCCCGGCCTCCGGCCGTGCTAGACCCTCAGAGCTGCGGGTGCCCGGCACACGCCAGACCTTGGGACCAGGGTGACCAGCAGACCCGAAAGGAGAATGAAGCGCCCGGCGCTCTGTGGCCTCCCTCGCCCGCAGAAGTGGCCCAGCCCTGACCTCGGCCACACCCCTGTCTGCCCAGAGCCCCCAGGAAGAGGCGCTGGGGGGCCCGCCCTCCACACGCCCCCAGCAGGATGCCTAACACAAAAGCCACAAGCGTCAGAGGGGATGCCCAGCAACCAGAACGCTGCTACGCTGCTACGGTTCCCTCAACAGAAAGACTAAAGCCAAAGAAGTGCCAACGTACAGCGCTCCCCGTGACCCACCTGTAGATCACTGACTCAGAAGAAACAAAGGGCACCAGAGGCACACGTGAGAATATTCTTAGAACTTTACGACTCATAAACAGCCCCAAGCTGGAAGTAACCCAAATCCTCATCCACAGAATAAATGAGTAATTTATAGTACATTTATATGATGGGATAGTATACAGCAGTGAAAAAGAATAAAGCACGGACACACACAGTGACATGGATGTAGCTCACAGGCGGGCTAACCTCCTCTGTGCAGGCGAAAGTCAGAAGAGGGGTTACCTGGCTGGGGGAGCCTCTAGCAGCCTAGGGCACACTCTCTGTCTGCGTGATGACTGTACGAGTGGATACAGGGATAAAACAGCACCCAGCTGAGTACTTAGCATTTACACCCTTGGGGCTGGGAGTGTGGCTCAGTGATCCAGCACTGGCCTAGCATCCACGAGGCCTCGGGTTCAATGCCCAGCACCATACACACACAGATTTGCGCTTTAGGCAGGTTATACATCGGTTCAAAACTAAATTACATGTATGCTTGCACAAGTAGTACTTGGGAAAGATCCATAGGCGTGAGTCACAGCTGGGCCGCCGAGTGAGGCTGAGGTCCTGCCGCCTAGCGCCCATCTTCTGTGTCACACTAATGCCCGGGCGGGTGTGGCCGGAGGAGCCCCGGGGGCTGTGGTGCCTCGTGACAGAGCCCCTCATTGCTGGGGGCAGCAGGAGCCCCGCGGAAGCGTGCACCGTGTCTATCAGGAGCCAGTGGCTGTTCTAGATGCCCACATGGCCCATTTTACAGAGGTGAAAACTGAGGCGTAGAAAGGTTAAGTAACCCGCCTGGAAGCTGACAGAGCGAGAGCCAGGCCTGGAAGGCAAGCTTGCTCCTAAGGGGAGGCACCGAGCACCAGCACCCTCCGGCTGTCCTCCCTGTGATATTTCCCAAGCCCGGGTCCCAAAGGCTGCACCGCGCATTTGGAAAAGCTGATCCCAGCGCAAGCAGCCTTTGCTCGGCTCTCAGCCCCCGGCGCCCCGCCCCACGCAGGCGTCAGGGGAGCACTCACCCCTGTCGTCGCACACCGCGGTCTCTCCGTCCCACACGCCGTTGGGGCGGCAGCGGCGCACCGCGGAACCGCGCAGCGTGAAGCCGGAGTCACACTCGAAGCTCAGGTTGCCGCCCACGGGGTGGGCCCCCAGCCGCGGGGAGTACACGCCGTTCTCAAAGGACACGGGGGCCGGGCAGCGGACAGCTGGGGGGAGAGAAGGGGCGCAGGGACAGATGGAGGACACCTGCTGGCCTCCGAGGAGGTGACATCCCGCCGGAGCACGGGATAGTGGCAGCTGGCTGTCGAACACGGGAAGAGGAGGTGGAAGCGGGTAGAATTACTGCTTTAGGCGGCAGCTTGCATACTGGTGATTTCACGGATTTGACTGGTAAATTGCTACCCCTCTGCCCGGGATCCTCAGGTGTCAGAGGGCTGCAAGTCCCCTCAGCATCCTCTGGCACTGTCAGTTGTGCAAAAGGGATCTCCAGCTTGAGTTCCCCACCATGGCTGTCAGAGCCCACCCCCAAATTCCAACAGTGGGCAGCTGACATTCCCCAAGATGTGTTTGTTGCTTTGTTTTTTGGGTACGGGGACTGAACCCAAGGTCTACACATTAACAAGTGCTCTGTCACTGAGACACATCCCCAGTTCTTTCTGATTTTTTTATTTTGAGACAATGTCTCCATAAATTGCCCAGGCTGACCTTGAACCTGCGATCCTCCTGCCTCAGCCTCCTAACTTTCTCCAAGTCACTTAAACCCTCAGCAATTGCAGCTTGGTCATCCCTCCCTCACCACCGGGTCAGGGTGATCCCCACAGCATAGCAACTCCTAAATAAATGTCCTGGGCTGACCCCTGGTGGGGTGCCCCAGCCAACCCCCACGGGAGCCTCACGCCTGCAGGTCGCCTTTGCATGCCGGCCGTAGCTCGGGGTCGACCCCAGGGTCCACCACTGGCCGTTGCTCTTGCACAGCCGGGCCGCTGGAGACGGGTAACTGCCCTGGGGGCAGGAGTAGGTGAGGAGGCTCCCAGGGGCCCAGCCGTGGCTGAGGGTGAAGGTGCCGCCAGTGATGTTCACGTTCCGAGGGCAGGAGGTGGCCGCAGCTGCCAGGCCTGTGGGCGTGGGGACGGCACCCGGGAAAGAAGGGCGCACAGGTAAGCAAGGACCCCGAGCGACGTCCCCGGCACCCTTGGGGCTCTGCCCCTCCCCTCCCCGCCACCTACCTGGGCACAGGGGCAGCAGGAAGAGCAGGGCCACCCGCGGGTCCATGCTGTCCACCTCGGCAGGGACGGGGGGGGGAGAGGGGGAGGTCACGTGACTTCCCGAAACCCGGAGCTGGCTCAGCAGCGTTCCATTTGCTGCCAGGGAGCCGGCTCCGGGGTGGCGAAGGGCTGGGACCCGTCAGAGAAAGCCAAGCAGGGCCGGGCGTGCAGAGGGCGTAGCTCCCTGACTCTGCGGCCCCAGCTCGTCCTCCGGGTCTGCACAGTGCTCCTGACACACGTTCACGTGCACTCACACACGCATGCATGCACACACACATACATGAGCCCTGGCAGACGCACACGTGCACACATGTGCGCCCAGGCACACCTGCTACTGCATGAACAATCGCAAGCGCACACACGGCCCGGGATGTTGCCAAACATTTTATTGAAGTGAAATTTTCATTTTCTTTTGGGTTCTGCCAAGTGGGTCTTATTTCCTGGGAGCCCAGGATGGCGTGGTCTTCTGCAAGCTTCCAGGGGATGGAGACCAATTTTCACAGAACTTCTTAATAAAAAAGAAGGTTCGCAATCCTTTTCTTCCCTGAAATGCTACCCTGGAGAGAACCTAAGGTTAAGAACAAAATCAGTGCAGCTGGGTGTGGTGGCGCACGCCTGTAATCCCAGCACTTGGGAGGCTGAGGCAGGAGGAT